TTTAGCACTTACAGGGACAGATTTTACAAAAAACCGAACACTTATGTGGACATTAGCATTATTGGGGACATTTTAATGTACCCGTTAATTTTTTGTCCCCGTAAGCAGGATTTTTTTTTTGTAAAAAAATTTTCCCGTAAGAAACTTTTAATGAACAAAAAGTACATACATCGACTGACAAATAGCCTGACTAGCCAGGGAGTGCTGCTACATCGACTGAGGGTTTGGTTTGGCCAGGCATCAAGGTCAGGGTTAGGGTTACAGAAGGTTTAAATTTGGTTATATTATTGTAATTAATCATTTTTTTAAATAGACGAAGTTAAAAAAGAAATATAATATAAAATAAATAAATAAAAATAACAAAAATTAATTTAAAAAAATATTTTTATAATAAAATAATAAATTTAAATATGTATAAATAAAAATAGAAATAAAATAAAAATTAAAAAATATATAAATATGATAAAAATAGTATGGACGAGGGATTGTGATTTTAAGAAGATTTTTTGTTAAAAAAAGAATTTTCTGTCTGGGTTTTTTTGCTACAAACATTTATATTTTCATAATTCCCAGACCTGATCATTTAATGGAAATATGCCGTAGTCAACTAAATATCATACAGATGCTATAATATTTTAAAATTGCCTTAGCTTCACCAAACACGTACATATGTGTTATCTATTTTATATATATACACACACACACACACACAAAGATACATGTATAAAAAGATATGTACATGTACATATCTTTTTATATTTGTTCATGCATATGCACAAAAATATATATATATTTTATTTAGTTTAAAACAAAAATATTGGCATGGGATTATCAAAAGATGTTTTATCATTGCAGCAGGTTGTTTGCTGGTTTTTTTCAAGTATTCTTAAAGATTATTTGCTGTGGTGTGAAATGTAAAATTAAATTTTATCTGTTTTACTTTAATATATATATTTACAGGCCTCTGTGTGAAGCGAGTGCTTTAGTTCCTGCTTCACACTCCCCTATAATGGTTAACTGGAATAATTGACTGCTCTCCCAAAAGTATAATTTTTATTTTTATTTTTAAAAAAATAATTTTTTTTTTAAAATTTTTATTACCAAAAAGTTTAATTTATTTTAAAAGTATTATTATCATTGTAACTAAAATGAAAAACAAAAAGTCATTTTTATTAAAAAACAAACAAATTAGTTGCATAATAAACTGCAATGCTTTTTAAAAGGCACGGTTGTTGCAATAACAACAAAAAAAAAATTAAAATTAAGCACCAATTTAAATGTAAATGTTTTTGATTAGAATGGATTCATATATATCAAATTATGATGCTCTAAATTTTTTATCAAATAAGTAATGTTAATAAATTAACAAATAGTGTGATAACATAAAGACAATGCTGACAATGTAAAGAATTTTTTCATGACGCAATAAATGACACTTATTATGTAAATATTCTTGTAACATTAATGTTACAAACATATGCTTGTAACAAGTATAAAACCAAATTTTGAATTTAATAAGTAATTTTTTTAATGAATAAACAGATAACTTATGCAAAAACCAAAAGCTCTCGTAAGAAGCTGTTTAGATAATTAGAAAAAAATTTTTTAGCATAAATTTTAAAATGTCATTTTCTTGGCAGTGAAATTTAAAATAATAATTTTTTTATAAAATGATGATTATTTTTGAAGTTTTTATATAATTTCACTTCTTTTGAGACCCAACATAATATACTTTTGAAGAACTATTTTTTTGATAATTATAGGAACCAGTTCAAGGGCCTTGGGGCACCCCTTAAAATGTTTTTTTGTTCAAAATTTTTTATTTCTAATATTATTTTTTTTTTTATAGAACACATTTAGAAGGTGAGAGCAGACATATATATGTATATATACATATACATATATATATATATATATATATATATATATATATATATATATATATATATATATATATATACACATATATACATACATATATATACATATATATACACAAATATATATATATACACACACACACACACACATATATATATATATACACACACGTATATATATATATATATATATATATATATATATATATATATATATATATATATATATATATATATATATATATATATATACACACACGTATATATATATATACACACACGTATATATATATACACACACGTATATATATACACACACACATATATATATATATATATATATATATATATATATATATCAGCGTGTAAAATAAGAAATCGAAGACGAGCGGTCAATTTGACCAGCTAACCTTTGGAATTGATGGTCAACTGTTTGTTTTTTTTTTTGGATGGTCAACATTTTTACTATTTTCTTTGTTTTTATTTTAATCTTCGTAGTAGTTCCTCATGACTGAACTTTATAAATAAAAAAATAACCTAATATTTGATAATTAACGAATTAGTATTTCTTTTTTAAACTTGCAAATAACTAACATTAAAATAACACGCCAATGTTAATAGTTAAAAATTAATCTCGCAGATTTTCATTTTATTTTTAAAAAGGAAGTTTGATAAATGGATAAATTTTTTTAAAAGAAGTTTGATAAATTGGATAAATTTATCAAACATATTAAATTCATTTAATTAGTGATGTCACATACCAACGCCACTATTAAACTAATTATGTTTGTCACTAATTAACAGATTAAATTATGTTATATATATATAAATTATATTATAATTAACAAATTAAATTACATATATAACATGTAAAGACATTAAAACATATAAAGACATATAAAAAAAATAATAGTTTAAGCAAATAAGCGCTTATTAAACAATTATGTTTGTTTTTTTCTTAATGATAGTAATTACGCTTAAGCTTAGTTATTATCATTTTAATTTGAATTTCGATTTAAATATTATTAATTCTGTTTATTTAATTTTTACTAAAAGTTAAATGAACAGTTTTAAAAATAACTTTTGCTTTAAGATGCCTTTTTTTTAACAATTAAATTAAAAAAAGTTATTTATAATAAAAACATTGTTTAGATTAAATAAGTTACATTTACTATGGATTTTTAAAAAATTCAAGGCATTACAGTTTAAAAATAACTAAAACTTTTTATAAAAGTTTTCTACTTTATTTTCATCGTTATTTTTGTTTGAGTCGAGAAGAATATGAAAAGAAACAAAACTTTAAATAGTTTTCATTTTAATAATGCCAAATAAAAAAGCGAGCTAAAGATTAAGCTCATTCATTTTTAAATTTTGCAAATACTAAATTTTCATTTATACTTTTTTTCGTTAACAAAATGTTTTTAATCATTTTTGAGCATCATTATAAAAGTTAACTTTTTAACTTTTAGTTTAACTTTTAGTTGCCTTTTAGTTGACAATTTTACGCTTAACGATAATTTTAAATTTATTTAAAAATAATAGTAACTAATCGCGGGAAAAGCTACGAGAAAATAAATGAAAAAATTAAATTTTAAAAAAATTACTTTAGATAAGAAAATGTTCTTAGTTACATACCACAATTTATAATAATTATATAATAATTAATATATAATAATTAGTTAAGAACTTTAATATTTAAAGTTAATGAAGTTAAAGAAAAAAAATGATAGCATTTTCGCTCATCAAAATCATTTTAAAAACTGCTAATCTGCTAATGTTAATTTAAATAGAATTAATAATATTAGTGAATAATAATTTTATTGATTCGCGCGAAGACTCATTAGATCAAGGAATTAATTTCAATTTTGTACTCAAAATTGAAATTATTTCCTTGATCTATTGAGTTCTTTTTTGATCCCATCACTCTACTGCGTAGTTTAAAATTTAAAGCTACTCATTCATTCAGTTTGCAGCAAAAACTTATGAGTAAACAAATAAAAAGTTAAAAGACAAATTTTTTTGAGATTAATGCAATTATTATATATTATTATATTATTATTAAAATAATATATTACATACAATTATTATTATATACTAAGAATTATTATATATAAAAAAGAACTTCAATCAATTATGAAAAAATGATTTTCACCACTATTAAAATGAAATTAGTTCAAATAAAAAGAAAAAAATTATTTGATGTCACATCTATGTTACATTCGTAAGCGAAAGAAATTTAAGTAACTTATTGTAAACTTATTAAGTTATTATTTATTTTATCAATGCGGTATTTATATTATTAATGCGGTAGTGGTGTAGTGGTAGAGCGCTCGCTTCATAAACGAGTGGTTCCGAGTTCGATCCCCACCACGTCCCTGGTAGTATCGCGCTCAACTCGTTTCTCCGCGCAGCGGCCTTGTTCGTCAAGGTTCGTGTTTCGGAGTTATAGAGTTGAGAGAGGGTTATAGCCACAAATAAGTAGCCTCCTCGTCTGTAGTGGCCTTCTCGGCCTTGAGGAGGTGAATCAAAACAAAAAAAAATTTAAAAAAAGTAACTTATTGTAAGCCTAATTTGAGCACTTTTTCGAAATTTTAATGATTATATGATAATTTAGTACATGCCTTTTCCAAATAATATGACTGTTTTTCAAATCTTGTTTTTCAAAACTATGATTATTTCTTAACTGGTCAACCACGACCGGCAAGAATTCATTTTGAGAGGTCAAAATAGCAATTTTACTCATTTTGGGCGGTCATTGATCGTTGACCGGCCGTTATTTCACACGCTGATATATATATATATATATATATATATATATATATATATATATATATATATATATATATATATATATATTATATATATATATATATATATATATATATTGGCTTTTAAAAGTATAGGTTCATTTTTTTTTTTTGACTTTTTAATTTTCTTTTAATTAATTTTTTAAATAATAAGTAGTAAAAAAACTTTTTATTTCTGAGTAAATTTTATTATTTTTAATAATATTTGTAATAATGTACCAGGCCTTGTTTTAAATAAAAAAATGCTTTATGCATTGGCTTAATGCGATATTTGACGTCAAATAATGAATATATATACATATATATTCATTATTTCTGAAATTTGTTTTTGAATAGTTATTGTTATTGAAACTTTATTTTAAGTAAACAAAAAGTATTAACATATTGACAAACAAAAACCTTTGTTAATTATTTAAACAGCAATTTTGTTTTGAATAGCATAGAATAATTTAGGTTTTTAAGTATTTTTTAAATTTATGTTGCTTAGTGTTTTCACTTGCGTTATATAAAAATATAAAATAGTTTAATTATTATTATTATTATTATTATTATTATTATTATTATTTCAGAATATAACGCCACCGTGGGCAATAAATAATTTACAGTAGTTGTATCAAAATTGCATAAATAAATTGATTATAGGTAAAAAAAATAGTAAAAAAAAAAAAAATAGTTAAAATAAAAATAGTTAAAAAAATAGTAAAAAAATAGTTAAAAAAAAAAAAAAAAAAGTTAGTGAACATCATTATATGCTTTAATTAATAGTTTAAGAATGTTTTAGTTTTTCCGGATTCCAATGTTTTTGTAAAAGCACAAAGCTATTCGTTTCAGCAATCCAGAGTTAAATAATTGAATGCGTTTGATTATTAAGCTTTTCTTAAGGTCAATCAATCCTTTAAAGAATGCAGAAAAAATAATTTTTCTCATTACTAATTTGTAAGGGCCATAATAGATTTCAATTAAATTGCATTGAGCATTTGTGATACTATATCCTCTTTTTTTATATCTATTAATTGCATTATAAGGTTATCATATGTACTATGGACAGGAATGTTATGCATCTCATAAATTGAAAGAATTATTTCACTTGTGACTCTGTTCTTCATTATTTGTTCAAACAAGAAACACTTGGCGATATCGATTTTTAATCCTGTGGGTGCAGCCAAAAAATGCGTACTTCTGGTTTTTCTATGGATACCCATAATGCCTTTTGCGATATTTAATTCAAGTGTTTGAAATTGTTGAATTTCACTCTTGTTTAGATGACAAACATCAGTGCCATAATGCAATATTGTTCTACAAAAACATTTAAATAGATGTGTTTTAAGTGATGGATCAGTAAATGTATCCAAACCCCAGTTTCGTGCTGCATATGTTGCATATAGAAATTTTTTTTGTCTTAATATCTGTTTTGAGCATATTTTTGATACATAGTTAAAGAAACACACAGCTATAGAGAAGAATCGTTTTTAACAATTAACAAGGCCTGATATTTATTGGTCTTATTTATTCTTTCTGAGCAATTTAATGGTAAATTAATGCAACTCTATTAATTTTTAAAAATGTATCAAAATTTTGAGTCAGTTAATTTAAACTTAATATGGGTTTTAGCTTTAATCTTAAATTAATACAAGAATACTGAAATTTAATTTGTGCTGACTACTATAAATTACAAGTGTCCTAATAAAAAAAGGTATTGATATTGATGTTGCTGTCAGAAAATCTCTTTATGTGTGACAGATAAGGTTAAAAAATAAGCTGTGTAAGTTAAGACTTCACAGTGGCCATTAAAAGATTGGTTTAAGGTCATTTTCAGAAAAAAATCAAATTTTGAGGTGGTTAATTGAAAATCAAGAGTTATCATTAAAAGATTAGCTTCAGAGAAATATAAGGAAAAAATTTTTACTAAGAGTACAAGGGGGTGGTAGTTTTATTGATATACAGGGATGCATTTCTCATATGGGAATAGAAATTTAAAATATTTATACAGGGAGAATTAATCAGTATCGAGCCTTCCTTGGAACTGTGTGCAGTTTTTTGTCCCCACAATATTTTATTTTAGATAACTTGGTAATGGCCGTTTGCAAGTTTAATTATATAATTTCTATGTGTTTGAAACAAAGAAAGCAAAACTAACAAAATAGGAAGTTAAAATGAATTTAAACAAAAAAAAAAAAAAAAGTTTTTATTTTTTTTTTATTGCAAAGTTTCTGTAAACAAACTATGAGAAGTATATAAGATTACAAGAATTTAAATTAAGTTTTTAAAATTTGCAGTTTGCAATCATTTAATGTTTATTTGTAAAATAACCATTAATACAATATTTTAACATATTTTTTAATATGACATTTTTAATCAATCTTTACTGTTAAACTTCTCATTTTTTCATTATAAAGTATTTTGTTTTGAAATTATGTGCACAGCTCAGATTTTTTTTTTTTTTCAGTTTATGAGGCGTAAAGAAGTTTTGAATTTGTATAGAGAATTTTTTAAACTGATTCGTTGTGCTCCTTTAAATGAACGCAAGTCTCTTCAACAGTGGATTAGAGAAGATTTCAAAAATAGCAAGCATTTAACTGATGATGTAAGTCAGAATGTTTTTTTGTTAACCTGTGTATGAAAATTATATTTAATATTACAAATTTTATATATTTAATTATAGAAAAAGTATGACTTTGTGATGGTATTATAAAATACAATTTAATGAATTTTTATTTTAATATTTATTCACATCCAACAAGGCTGTAAGCAATTTCTATTAAGTTGGGAGTTACTAAAACAAATAATAGTGTTAAAGAGCAAGGCAAGGTTGACTTGAAATATTTTAGGTTGTATCAGTCAGGAAAACATGAACCTGGGAGTGAGTTCCAAAGATGTGTGAGGGAAACAAATAGATAAATAAAAGTTTTTAGAGTATGTAGGGACAGATACAGTATAAAGATGCAACTTTTTCTAAATGATGAGTGGAGAAAGAATGAGTTTTTGTTGGTGTAACTAAAGATGGTAGCTTGTTTTAGCAGCAACCATTATAGTGTTTTTAGAAAAGAGAAAGAAATGCAACCTTATGACAATTGGAGAGTGGCTCAACGGTGACAAATGCGGTAGTGGTGTAGTGGTAGAGCGCTCGCTTCATAAACGAGTGGTTCCGAGTTCGATCCCCACCACGTCCCTGGTAGTACCGCGCTCAACTCGTTTCTCCGCGCAGCAGCCTTGTTCGTCAAGGTTCGTGTTTCGGAGTTATAGAGTTGAGAGAGGGTTATAGCCAGCATGTCAAACTTCGCTATCTCCTCCTAGCCCGTTATAGAATCTTTTAGTTACAGCAGTTAGAAAGTCAGCCTTAGAACAAGAAGATTGCAGTCTTTTATGATTGTCAGAAAGTAAGTTATTAGATTCAAGATGAGATGTTAAAAATTTGTTGATTAAAAACTCAAAGATCTTGCTAATAATAGAAAGAAGACTGATCAGATAATAGTTAGAAGGGAATATATATATATATATATATATATATATATATATATATATATATATATATATATATATATATATATATATATATATATATATATATATATATATATATATATATATATATATATATATATATATATATATATATATATATATATATATATATATATATATATATATATATATATATATATATATATATATATATATATATATATATATATATATATATATATATATATATATATATAGTTTAGCACTTACGGGGACAGATTTTACAAAAAAAATGAACACTTACAGGGACATTAGTATTATCATAAACATTTTAGTGTGCCGGCTAATTTTTTGTCCCCATAGGCATGATTTTTTTTGTAAAAAAATGTACCCGTAAGAAACTTTTATAGAAAATGATAAGTACATACATCGACTGATGTATGTACTTTTCATTTTCTATAAAAGTTTCTTACGGGTACATAGCCTGATTCGCAAGGGAGTGCTGCTACATCGACTGAGAATTTGGTTTGGCCAGGCATCACGGTCAGGCTCAGGGTTAGGGTTAAGGAAGGTTTAAATTTGGTTATATTATTGTAATTAATCATTTTTGTAAATAAGTGAAGTTAAAAGTATTATATAAAATAAATAAATAAAAATAACAAAAATTAATATAAAAAATATATTTTTATAATAAAATAATAAATTTAAATATGTATAAATAAAAATTAAAAAATATATAAAGATAGTATATAAATAGTAAAAACAACAACAACAGAACGGGAACAAAATTAACAAAGTCGCCAACTAGGATGCTATATATATATATATATATATATATATATATATATATATATATATATATATATATATATATATATATATATATATATATATATATATATATATAATATTAGGGGTGTGCTGGAACCATAAATTTGGTATAATATGCAAATCATGATAAAGATAGTGAACTAATAAATATTTGTTTACAAAAATAAATGTTTTATAATATATATTTTTTAAATTGTCAAAATTTTGAAAGTTAATTTCAAATTATATATTTTCTTAGTATATTCCTATTTTTATATAGGTTTAATGTTGTTCGTTAGATTTGTCTAATCAACTTGCATTAAAATGTAAAGAACACACTCGTGAATCATCAGAGATATATATAACCTAATTTGGTTCCATAGGGGTCCCTAGGTCCACCCTGATAGATACAAAAAATATTTTTTTATGTGAAGATTTTAGAAAATAAAATAACTTACTATAGTTAGCTATTTTAGTAAAATTTAATAGTAAAATCTTTAAAGAATTTCTAGAATGTTTCCAATGACATCATGTACTAAAACTCCTATGAATTAAACGCACTTGAATAAATTATCAAGTCTGTATAATACGCCTGGAAAATCGCGATTATTTTAAAGAATCCAAATACCGCAGAAAATGGAGAAGACAAGCTTCGACTAAAACAACAAGATTTGTTTTTCTTGGTTTACATTTATTAATTAGTTTTAATAAAAAAAATTTGCTCAGACGTTTTTTTTTTAACATTCTCTTTAATATGAACACAACATGTCTCGGGACTTGGTGGTCCCTTAGGATAGTATTTTGTTGAGTACAAAATCTTATCAAAATCTTATACAAAATAATTATTTTTATTACGTTTTTGCATGACCGTAACTGTTAGTTCATGGAACAAAAGGTTTACCTCCTGATCTAAAATCTTTAAACTCAATCTCTGAATTTAAAATATAGTTTTTTAATTATTTGTTAAAAAAAATACAATTAAATATTTCTACAAATTAATATTGAAATTTTTTATTATATATATCAATTTGTGATCCTTTAGTTTTTAATTTGATATTTTTAACATTTTGAAATTCTTTACTTATCCATCTACATCTAATTCCTCTGGTTATCTATATGCCGTTTTTAAACTTTTTTGTTAAATTTTTCATTCTAATATTATAAATATTAGTACCAATTGGTATTCTTTATTTATCTATTTATTTATTCATCTCTTTTCATTCAACTATTCTCTACTTTGTACTAAATCTTTATTGTTGCTGTCATTATTTACTAAATTTTTGTTGCTGCTGCTGTTGTCTTTATTTATGAAATTCTCCTTTTATTATATCATTTATCATTTTGTTGCTATTATTGTTGTTGTTGTTGTTGTTGTACTTATTACATATTATTATTATTGTTATTATTAATATTGTTGTTATCATTATTATTATTATTGCTATTATTATTATAATTAATATTGTTATAATAAAGTTTGTCTACCGTTAAAAAAATAAAAACATACATTATATTCCCTTTAAAAAAAAATGAGTCAAGAGCAGCTAGATTTTTGCGGCCCCCGCTCCACCAAAAAGCAGCAGCTCCATGGCTCTGGTTCGCCCTTACAAGCCTGGTTCTTATATATATATATCTTCACCTGAAGAATACTGCAAGGCAGGTATTCCAAGAAGATGTGACCCTTTCCCCTCCCTTTTTAATATTCAGGAGCATGTTCAACAGCTAATTTTTCATTATTTAGTATTAATGACTTTTTATGACAAATATTTTATATTTAAATATTAGCATTAATGACTTTTTCAAATTCTTAAAAGTTTACTATATTAAATCATGGTCAAGTTGTCTAAAAAACTTACTTAAAGCATGGACGAATAAAGCGTGCAACCACACGCACTTCTTGGTAGGCTTACATGTAATGTATATTAAATTATATTATACATATAATGAGTAAATAAATATATTTGTATAATAAAGTCAAATAAACATACTACAAAAACATAAAACCTTTTTGCCGGATTTTTTATCTTCTGATCCCATTAAAATTAAATGTCTTTCTTGAACTTTTAAAGAGTTATAATCTTCATGCTCATCTTTATTTAAGATAATTTATTCTTGTCCTTCTTAGTTTGGTTATTCAAATCTGTAGAACCAATCCAAAAAAGCTTTTTCAAAAATGAAGTAAACTTGAAGTTCCACTATAACCCATGGCTATAATGGCCCAAACCAAGCCTAAAATTTCTAATTTTCGTCTATTATAACCCTGAATCTTGTTAAAAGGGCATGATAAAATTGCTTTTATAATTATGTGGTTGTAGTGGCAATGTATTGAAGAATATCCATTCCAATAGTTGAAGACCTAAACAAACAAAATTCAAAATTTTGATATAAAAAGAAATTCAAAATTCAAAGCAATAGAAAATCAGTATATTTTAAATAAGATATTCAGCACTGGAAATAATTATTTTAAGGTTGCCAAGCAACACTGATCGGCTGAAATGAAAAATATTGAAAAGTAGACAATCAAATTATTTTCCAAACGTCATATTTAATTTTTTTAATTTTCACCTAATTTTTGTAACCATTTTGTTTTATGTTATAATGCTTTTTGTGTTTAAGCAATATATAGTCATATTATATTAAAGCCTAATAATATACAAAAATAATAATCGACAAAAAACATTGATTAAAAAAAAAAAATCAATATTTAAGAATAATCTTTAAATGAAATTAATTGTTATAGTTTACTTTTAACTCTAATAAAACTTTTCACTTTGCTTTTTAACATATTATTTTTAATCATCCAATTCAAACCCTAGTTTTTTAACAAATATTTCCATCTATTAGCCTTAGTTTAATTTTAACTTTCTTTCATAAAGTTTTACTTCTTTCTTAGCAGGTGGTTCAAATGCTGGTATCTTATTAAATGAAATAATTTCCTCCATTTTCTGAGTATGACAATTTTGTTTTTTCTGTTTGATGAATATTTAAAACATTTTGATGTTTGATGATCTCAAACTTTAGAGATCCTAATAATTTAAGCAAAATTAAATTGTTTAAATTGTTTTGATGATCTCAAATGTTGTTTTCTCGCTTGTCAAAAGCTTGCGTTATTTATTATTCCACTAATCATCTTTATTCATTTAGTATTTTTGCTTATTTATTATAATTTTCACAATTTTTTTTATAATTCAATTATTGTTATTGCCTAAGAGATTATTCCAATAATCATAAACACTTAGTGTTAGCTAACTTGAATAATTTTCTGTTTTTATAGGTATTTTCTATTATTATTTTTATAGAAGTTTTCTATTATCAAGTTTGCCTTGCTTTTATTGACAATCAAATTTAATCAGCCAGAATTTATATTAGGAGATTAAAGTATCATATTTTCCAAAAGTAGATGATCATTGATCATTAATCTGCTATTACTTCCGGCGTTGGGTATTACCTGTAATTGCTTCCGGCGTTGGGTATTACCTGTAATTGCTTCCGGCGTTAGGTATTACCTGTAATTGCTTCCGGCGTTGGGTATTACCTGTAATTGCTTCCGGCGTTGGGTATTACCTGTAATTGCTGGTTTAGTTTATTTTTTTATGAGCTGAGAACTTTTCTCTTCATCTTTCACAATTTTTTTTCCTTTTTTTATTCAATCCAGTTAGATTTAATATGTATTTTTTTGATGCTGATCTAAAATGGTTTGAGGTTGGCAATTTTTGCTGACTTTATTTTTCCCTTTTTTTTTCTATTTCAAAAAAGATTAATAAAAGTCATAATCAAAACTCAAAAAGAATTTTTAAAAATGTTGGCAAAAAATTAGTGTTTTAAGTCAGCATTAAATTAGACTTAAATCAAAAATATTTATTTAATTTTTTTTATTTAGATTGCCCTCAATCACTATGGAAAACAAAAAAAAATACAAAGCTATTTGCCTATGCCGTTTTAAATGAATTTTTCATTATTAGCAATTTTCATAACCTCTTTTGTAAATATTTTTTTTTTTTTTTTTTTTTTTTGTTATTCACCTCCTCAAGGCCGAGAAGGCCACTACAGATGAGGAGGCTACTTAATAGTGTTTATAAGCCTCTCTCAACTCTATAACTCCGAAACACGAACCTTGACGAACAAGGCCGCTGCGCGAAGAAACAAGTTGAGCGCGGTACTACCAGGGACGCAGTGGGGATCGAACTCAGAACCTCTCGCTTATGAAGCGAGTGTTTTACCACTACACCACTACCGCATATAATAATATACATAATATAACATACATTCAAAACTTTTTTACTTTTTTAACTTATTCCTTTAACTTATTCAATATGTAAAAAAACATGATAACATACTATTATAAACAAATTTCAAATAACAAATGACAAAATCAAAAAATTCAATTTTATTAATGAGATTGCTTTTAAACACCTACTTTATTTAAAAAACCAACTTGACTTAAAAGCCATCTGATTGACCTAAAAACAATATCCGAGTAAATTTTGAGTAAGTTATGTGTGTGTGTGTGTGTATATATATAAATCCTGATTAATGTTTTCAGTGTGATCAGGATGGTATTGATAAGTTCTTTGAAATGGTAATTTAATCATTAAAATGCCAGTAAGAAAATAAAACTTATTTTAAATTTTACAAGGTTATTTATCTTAGATTTAGAAATATTGGTTATAAGATAATTGCATTTCTTTTTTTTTTTTAGATAGACATTAAACTGCAACTGTCACGAGGTCGTCTTGCATTAAGAGAAATGGCAGCAGCTGTGAATTTACCAAAATAAATTTAAATGTTTGTTTGTGTTAAACTCATAATTTAATAGAAAAAAATATAAAATTGATTTTTTTTTTTTTTTTCCTAAATAGTTCAAGGCTTTTATTTAATAAATATGTAATTTAAAGACTAAATAATAAAAATAATAGTAGCAATATTAATAAAGAAACAAAATCATGGATGTGATCGATAAGCAGTCAACATTTCCTCAAACAGAAAGAATGGATAGTATTGGAAAAGATTGCAATCCACTCAAGCACAAGTACGATGATTGTTTTAACAAGTGGTATTCTGAACAGTTTTTAAATGGAAATTGGACTACTCCAAATGGTCAACCTTGTTCTGAGTTGTTCACCGAATACAAAGCATGTGTTGTGGTAGGTTTGTTTTTTGTTTTTTTCTAGTTTTTTAATTTTTATCTTTATTCAAATCAAAGTCGAAAATATTTTATAATGCCTTAAAGTGGTGAAAAATATTCTACTATTACAAACAAATATAACAATTAGTAAAAATAATTTCGCTCAAATATTTTTGCTAGTTAATGATTTTCAAATAAAAAAATGCTTTATCTTTGGAAATGTTTTTCAAATAAAAGTTATGTGCTTGAAAATAGGAGTATAATTCAAAACTTTTAAAATAAATGCCATGTAAGTTAGCAAGGTTTATGTTAAAATACCATAGATGCTAGTGTTAGATGTGTCTATCAGTGTTAGATGTAGATATATCATGATTTTTATAAGTTTCAAGTTTTAAGGGTCTCAGCCCACGAAATAGGTAGGATTTTAGATCGGTACAAGTGTGTCATACTTTGCCAATGTCAGGTCGGCAAAATTTTGCTTTAAATTTTTTGCATCCTGTAACGAAAGGGTTAATGATTAATGATTAGTAGATTATAAAAGTATTGCTTTTTAAGTGCAAAGTCTTAGACAATAAATTCTTTAAATTATTTAAAATATTCAAATAATTTAGCAAATAAACTTTAAGTAAGTATATAGCAAGTTTATGAAGTTGTTTTTTTTTTCAAAAAAAACTTTTCATAGTTAACTTATTGCATTATTGATTTCTATTTGCATTATTGATCATAGAAAAAATGTTGTTTAGAAATGCAAATTTATTCTTTGAGCATTAAGTTACGATTTTTTAACAGCAATGTTTTAAAAAGTTTGTAGAGAATCATTTGTTTGAAAGCCGCAGGATTTAAACTCCCATTATTCAATAATTGTTCTGTTAGACATAGAATCGCTTGTTTAGAGTTTTCTTTGTGTAACACTGTAGAGTTTCTTATTTTTTAATTCCTTTAATGAAAAAACCTAATATGCTTTAAATTTAAAAAAGTTTAATATGTTTCTTAACATGTTTTTAAATAGTTTGTTTCTTCGCCACATTTGTTTATTATACTATGACCTTTCTGTTAAACTTTCTGTTCTTAAATAATATTAAAATAGGTGTTAACAGTTTTACCTATTTAAAAATTAATATTAGAATTTAAAACTTGATAACATAATAATCACGCTAAGATTTCTTGTAATAATGCGTGAGAACAACAGACATTAGATCAGTAAGTTTTATTAATTTTTGACATTGCTATGCTTGTTATGAATGAATTCGAATAAAATTGAAAAAATAATTGTGAATTATTTTCTCAGATAAAGTTTGACTTATTATTATTTGCTTAAACAAGCCTTGAAACTGCATTTCAAACTATTTTAAATTGGTTATCACTGTTCCTTTGCTAGACCATGCGAATACTGAGTTTAATGCAAGGTTAAATTATATAACTTTAAAATGTTATAAAGCACCTGTCTTTTAGTTTCTTCGTTCTAATCTTTATTTTCTTCAAAAACTGATTGAATGTTCTTTATGAAAAATATAAGACATGGTACATAAGACCTTGTTATAAATTTTACAATAACTTTTTTAATTTATAACAAATAAACATATAGAGCATTCAAAGATATAATGACATCATTATATCTTCAGGGTTCCCACACCTCCTTAAAAACCTTAAATATCCTTAAAAAATAAAAACCTCCTTAAATGTCCTTAAATAACCTTAAAAAAAGTTAAAATTTGACTGCCTACCTTATATATATATATATATATATATATATATATATATATATATATATATATATATATATATATATATATATATATATATATATAAAGTAAGTATATAATATATATATATAAAGTAAGTATATAATATATATATATATATATAAGTATATAATATATATATATATAAGTATATATAATATATATATATATATAAAGTAATAATAATTTCTCTGTTTATATTTAAAATTTATTGAAAAAAATAAGATTATGTTTTCAATGTAATCGTCTAAAATACGTATTAATACGCTTAAATACGTTTTATAAACATCTTAAAAACATTTTGTGCCCGTTGGGTTATTATTTAATTACAATTAATTAACCGCTTGTTACCTATATGACTTCAAAAAGTTAATTAAATAATTTCAAAAAGCTTGTTATTTAAATAACTCCAAAAAGCTTGTTATTTAAATAACCTGATAGCTTGTTAAACTAAAAAAAATAATTTTGAGTTAGTTTTTGTTATTTTGTAAATCACTTTTTTATCAAGTAATGTTAGATATTTACAATAATATGAACAGGTTAGTTATAAGTTCCATCCCCACCACACCCCTGGTATTTCCACTCTTAATTTGTTTCTCTGGGCAGTGGCCTTGTTCATCAAGCTTCATGTTTTAAAAAATTATTTTTAAATATTAAAAATGAATCTTTGTAAAAACTGTCTAAACTTCAATTACATTTTAGGAGTATATGTTCCTCTAAAAATATTTATTTCATAAAAACAGCTGATTCAATTTAATATTTTTCACTGTTCCAACCAGAAACCCATTATTTAGTCCAGACCACTCTATTTAAAAATGTACCATGGTGTACCATAAATGTGTGTGTGCCAAAATACCATAGATATATATTTGTGTAAATAATATGTATATATGCAGGGGTGTACTCTCATAGTCATCCAGTGGCACTGGAAAACTCCAGATTTTTCTCCAAGGGCGACTGGAATTTTTAAAAAATGCCTGCTTGTCAGGGCAACAAGACAGTTTGCTACTTACAAAAGTGTGTTTTTTAATTGTGTATTTTGATTTATAAAGATTTTTTTCCTTGGAGTTATTTTAAAAAAAACTTTAAAAAGCATTAAAAGTAGTATACATTTTGTTTAACAATGAGTACACTACAGTACTTAGTAAAAAGTAGTATACATTTCGTTTAACAATGAGTACACTACAGTACTTAGTAAAAAGTAGCCAATGATTTAATATTTCGAAGTGCGACTATACTCGATTTTTAAACATTATTGTTGCATTTTGAAGCACGCTTCTCAATATAAAATTAGTTTTAAAATTAAATTTTTTTTTCATTTTCGAATGCTATTGTATTTTTTAAACCTTATAGTCACATTAAATACAACTATAAGGTTTAAAAAAAAAGTCGTATGAATAACAAGAATGGGCAGTTAAATAATAAATTCTTTATTTCTAAAAAAAAAAAAGTCTTAGAAGTAGTGTTCAAAATATTAAAAACTTGTTTTAAACATTCAACTAAAATAAGTTTGATTGAAGATGGAGAGAATATTTTTCTCTATATAAAATGTTTCTTTGCAGTTTTGGTTTTCAATATTTTTGCTTCACGTAATGAAACCTTTGTTAAGATTGACAAAAACAAATGATACGATACATATATAGACTACAAAAAAAATGACAACACACATTTGATTTAATTAATAAATTAATTACTTCTAAATAAACCGTTCTTTATTAGACATATTTTAGTAGTCAGATGGTTAAATTTTTTTTCTTCAATATTCATTAATATTTCACCTGAGAAAAAAAACAAAAAAAACTTTCACACCGAACTACTGATTGTCATAGCGGATGACTCAAATGAGAAATAAAATCTGTTTCAGTCGCCCTGCAGGATACTGGAAAAAAATTCGGTACACTGCTGATATGTATGTGTATATATATGTGTGTGTATGTATGTATGTATGTATGTATGTATGTATGTATGTATGTATGTATGTATGTATGTATGTATGTATGTATGTATGTGTGTATATATATATATATATATATATATATATATATATATATATATATATATATATACATACATACATATATATATACATACATATATAAAAAGATGAAAAGTTAATATAAAAAGACAGAAAGTTAATATATAAAAAAATATATATATATGCCTCGGTGGGAATAAATGAGCACAAGAGCAGAGAAAAGCTCTCCTAAAACAAACTTAAAGAGCTGTGCAAGCTGCTTATATAAATTGGCACTCTTTTTGACTTTAATTTTTTTTAACAACAACCATGCTTCTTAAAAAGCATTGCAGTATATTATGCAAATAGTTTTTTTATAAATGGCATGTTTTTTGTTATAATTACAACGATAACTATACTTTCATGAGGAAAAACTTTTGCGAGAGTCTTAAATTGCTCTCGCAAACCATTTTAGGGGAGTGTGGGCGAGAGCCGAGGCCTATATCTATCTATCTATCTATCTATATATATATATATATATATATATATATATATATATATATATATATATATATATATATATATATATATATATATATATATATATATATATATATATATATATATATATATGTATATATATATATATATATATATATATATATATATATATATATATATATATATATATATATATATATATATATATAGATGAAAAAGTATATTTTTAGAAAACTTTGAATAATAAGAACATAGACATTGATGAAGTGCTAAAAACTGTTCTTGGTACTAATTCAGAAATGCAACCTCCACATTCACCTGATGCCTAAACGATATATAGGTAAAAAATATATATTTTTTAAATTTTTTATTTGAATATAAAAATTATTTTTAAATTATTATTAACTACTTTTTTTATTTTTTTTTTTTAAGTTTTAAAGCATGGAAAATGTCGAAAAACTTATAGTAGCTTTGTAATTCGAATGAATGAAATTAAAAACTTGAGATTAACACTTTTTAAAAGACAGTTTTTGTACTATGAATGTAGAGATAATAAGATAAATTTTATATCTTTTATTTCTTAAATTACTATTTTAATATGTTAAAAGTTTTTTTATTTGAAGATGTTTATTTTTATTTGTTTAAATTAATTTTTTAATATCTATTGTTATTTTTATAAACTTATTTTTGATGACATTTTTCTTCAGTATTGATATATATATTATATTAGATAAGTTTGTTTGTGTGTGAGTCTGTGTGTGTGATTGTGCATGATTGTGTGTAAATGTATATACATACATACATACAGACAGACATACATACATACACACATAAATACATACATACATACATACATACATACATACATACATACATACATACATACATACATACATACATACATACATAAATACATACATATGCATACATACATATAATAGAGTTTGACTTTTGATCAGCTTGACAACTTTATTGTCTAGCCCAATGATTGGTTGTTTACATCACCTGGGTTGTCAGACCAGAAAGGCACTAAAATTTTATCCATTATAATATCTGATAATACTTTATTGTAATATTTGATAATACTAAAATTATCTAATATAATATCTGATAATACTTGTTTTGTTTTTAAGATTTCAAAAATAAAAACTATTAGAAATGTCAACAGATGAGATTTTAGATTTAGACGTTGCCCGTCAAAAAATGAAGAAGTGGAGAGATGATGGATATCGCAACAGTGATGAGATTATTAGCTTAGGAGAGTGTATTATTTTAGATCATGCTAATAAACTTGGAGATGAACTATGGTTACTTTATGAACAAGTATGTATAGCAGCCTTCGACTGCAACCGAATGGATCTAGCTCTTAAATGTCTCCGTGCTCTAGACAAGCAGTTTCCGAAATCAAACAGGGTGTTAAAGTTAAAAGCAATGCGTAAAGAAGTTTTAGGCCAATATAATGATGCGAAGCAAATTTATGAAGTGATGCTTGAGGATGATCCAGCAAATCTTTCAATAAGAAAACGACTTATTGCACTTACAAAAATTAAAAATGATCCAGAAGAGACAATTTCTGCATTAAATGCGTATTTAAAAGATTTCATGGCAGATCAAGAAGCATGGATGGAGTTAAGTGAGCTTTATATAAAGCAACAAGAATTTTCAAAAGCTGCTTTTTGCATGGAAGAAGTTATGCTATCACATCCACACAATCATTTGTACCACCAACGATATGCAGAAATTCAATATACCATTAACACACCAGACAGTATGGAAAAAGCAAGAATGTATTTTGCACAAGCTCTCAAACTAGATCCTAACAATGTACGCGCTCTTTATGGTTTGTTTCTGACTACAAATTCTTGTGTAGCTAAAAAAGGAACAGATGCAATGAAAACATGTACTTGGACTGCTGAAAGGATTGCCAATATGTTTAACAGCAATGTAGGTGAATACCAGAAACAAGCTGTTACAGAAATGATGGGTAGTTTGTCCATAACAAATTAAAATTATTTATTATGATATGATGATAAATTATAAAAAGATTAGCTTTGATTTTAGTTAGCCTTATAAAGATATTTATGCAGATAAATGTTCTGCTTAAAAAATTTAGTCATGTAAATAAAGAATATCTAAACAGTTAAGACTTAATTAAGTGTATTTTTTAATGTAATTTTTTTTTTCCTTTTTATAAAATGTTTTACAACAAGAAAAATTGTCGCTTGATTCAGTGGTTCATTGGTTCTTGAATCAGAAAAATTTGTTTGACTATATTTTATTTTGTTTCATTTGGTTTGAGTTCAGTTTTTTTTAATCTCATTTTTGTTTCATTTTTGAACCCTTTTTTTTATTTGAGTTTTTTTTTATTTGAGTTTTTTTTTTTTTTTTTTTTTTTTTTTTTTTTTTTTTTTTTGAGTTTTTTGAATTTGATTTGAGCTTATATTACAATGTTTTAACTTATTTTTATTAATAAAATTTACTTTTTACCCTTTATTTTGAGTTTGTAGTTTTGTATCTGTAGTAACATTGCATTTAATATATTTTCAAAATTTTTGGAGTTTCATTAATTTTTTTCTTTATTTAGTTCTCTTTTTTTTTCTTATTTATTATTAAGCTATTTAAAAAACTAATTAAAAAATCAAATATAAATTAAATTAAAAGACGTCCTTATGTTTGATGTCCTTAGTGTTATGTTAATTGAAAAAAGTAAATTTTATCTTTATTTTATTAACAGTAAATGTTTTTATAGTTTAGAGTTTTAAAACATATTTAAAATTAAACTTACGCTGTTGCAAGGAGATGTCAGCAAGGTTGCAAATGTTCACTTCTTTTAATGCTTTTTTTTTTTTTTTTTTTTTTTTTTGTTTGTTTTTTTTTTTTTTTTTTTGTTGCCCCAAAAAGTGTAAATTTTACTATAAAAGATGTTTTTCTAGAAAAGGTGTTGGTTCACGGTTGATGTGTCCTAGTCATCCTAATGCACCTTTAGTTGAAGATTATCGTGCCGGCGATATGGTGTGTCCTGAGTGTGGGCTAGTTGTTGGTGATAGGTTGTTTTTATTTTTTGCGTTTAATGAGTACATATATGTGTGTATATATATATATATATATATATATATATATATATATATATATATATATATATATATATATATATATATATATATATATATATATATATATATATATATATATATATATATATATATAGGGAACATTAAAATTTTAGAAGATAATAATCGGAAACTTGATTTATAGTAGCAGTAAAACATTGAGCCTTTTTGAAAAGCCACTTGAGTATATAGAAAAGTTATACTTGTGAGTTATATTATTAGTTAAAATGTAGATATTTTAAAAATTAAGTTGATCTTGATTATTTTGGTATTCACATGTGTATTGAATAGCTTTGTCTTGAGAATTTAAAAACGTCCAAAACCATTCTGCTTTATCTTATAATAAAGTTAATAAAGCGTGCATGGTAGTCAACAACATGATGATAATCAAAGAATCAAAGAATATCAACAATTTGTGTAATTTTGGAATTATACACAGCGTAATATATGTATAAATAACTTATAAATAACTCTGTGAAATTTTATTCAATATTAAAATTTTTAAAATGTGAAGAAAAATTAAGAGTGTTTACTTTGATGATAAAAATGAACAAAAATATACTTGAAGCACTCTATTTCAAATAGCCCTAAATCTTTAGGGCTTTAATCATTTTTACAAAATTTTTAAATTTTATTTAAAATTATGAAAAAATTTTTAAAAAAAAAGTATTAGCTTTTATTATTTATATATTGAGTTGGCTAAAAAGTTGGCGCATTTTCTTACAATTCATTTTTGTTCATCTTTATTATCAAACACTTATCTTCACATTTTAAAAATTTTAGTATTTAATAAAATTTCACATTTAGAGTTATTTATATTATAAATAAACAATAAATAATAATAACAATAAATAAACAAAATTATTTTTTACAAACAACTTTAATATCTATGTTAAAAGTATAAACACTTATGTTCCATTACTACATGTGCTGATCACTTGTGTACTGTGTTTAAAACTTAGATGTTTATAACAAATTAAGTTTAATATTGGTAGAAAAAAATTTATTATGTTTATCATTAAACATATGTTAAAAACAAGCTGAATTTTATTTTTATCGTTATTTAAAATATCAATACTGCTTTTTGGTTAATATTTTGATTTTTATTAATGTAATCTTAAATTCATATTAGTATTGCTAAAATTATATTCAATAATTTACAATTTTAGATCTAGGTTGTTACCAATTTAAAATAAATATAGCCTGAAATAAAGTAAAGAATAATTATTGTACTAATATAAATTCTAAAAATGATAAAGATTTGAAGTAAACAAACTGTAAAAATATGGCTATGAAATGTAAAAGAATTTAGTAAAAACCAAAACCAAAATCAAAAAAAAGAAACAAAAACAAAATTGCCATAAAAAAAGTCCAATGTTTGAGAGAAAATTAGTTAATTAAAACAAATTATATATATATATATATATATAATTAAAATATATATATATATATATATATATATATATATATATATATATATATATATATATATATATATTTATATATATATGTATATATCAGGGGCTATTCTAGACCGTTTTCGATAGCATCGACCGTATTTGGACGGCGCCCAAATTAAAATTTGAGGACCTTTTTTTTTACATTTTTAAGGCAAATATTGTTTGTTTGTTTTTTTTTTTGCGAAAAAAATGCTGATTTTTTGCTAAAGTTAGCTAGATCAAGGTGGTACTGTTGTCCGATTTTTTTCCTAGAATAGGCCCTATATATATATTTATATATATATATATATATATATATATATATATATATATATATATATATATATATATATATATATATATATATATATATATATATATATATATATATATATATATATATATATATATATATATATATCAAGGGTTAAATAAAGCGATCGCACAATGCAAATTCTGGAAAAATATCCGGTCTTTAAAATTTTAGTTTATGCAAAACCCTGTTCTTTGTTTAAGAGGGGCGATTTAACCTAAATTTGTTAGCGTTTCTGAAGTTTTTAATAATATTTGAATACCTATTTTATTAGAGAGTTTAAGCATACACGCATTATCTCAAGAAGGTGTTAGTACAAAAGCTAGCAAGTTTGCTACCACAGCAAATTTAAAAAACGTTAAGCAAGAATAATTCCAAAAAATATCTGCTCTATAAACAATCAAAGCAAATCTTACTAGAAAATCTGCATCAAAGTTTATTTTAAATTTAAAGATGACATTGGGAGTTAGAGAGATGTTAACCTCAAAAATATAAAAGCAAATCATTCAAAACAAAAATATGATTTTGAAAGTTATTAGTTATAACATGTTTTTAAGTAGTGGTGAGAAATAAGATTTCTAGCATACATTTAAAACGCGATGTGTTAGAAAGGAAGTTTCCCTAAAACTTATTAATTATTTATGAGAAATTCCTTTGTATTCCTACCAGTGTCTCAACATAATGCTTGTATGCTTAAATGCTTTATTTTTTCTAGATGCTTTTCTACTTTGAATGAACTACTAATGTTGTTTGAACAAAGAATGAGCTATATAATTTATATTTGCTTTATAAAAGTGATAATACTATTATAGTTTTATTACTTTTATAATGCAGTTAGTGACTAGAGTGTTATTACTTTTGTAATAAACTTATAATAATTTTTTCCTTGAAAACAAAGTATGCTTTATTGCATGTGTGTGAGTGTGTGTGTATGTGGGAGGGGGGTGTTTTAAAGTTTAAGAAACAAATATCCTAGTATGGTATCAGTGCACTGGTCAAAATTGATGGAATTTTAGACCAATACAAATACAAAGAGATGTTACAAAATGTAATGGAGCTAATGCTGACGATAACATACCAATTGCATGGATTTTAATGCACAACAATGACCAAAAGCATACTGCAAGGTCTGTAAAGTCTTAACTTGAGTAAAATAAAATGAAAACAAAGTATGCTTTATTGCATGTGTGTGTGTGTGTGTGTGTGTGTGTGTGTGTGTGTGTGTGTGTGTGTGTGTGTGTGTGTGTGTGTGTGTGTGTGTGTGTGTGTGTGTGTGTGTGTGTGTGTGTGTGTGTGGGAGGGGGTGTTCTGGAAACATTGGACTCAGATCAGGACTACACTTAATCTGAATTCAATCAAGAAATTATGGTCATCATCAAGATGTATGGTATGATAATGAAGTGGCTTTATGAGGTAAGCAAACATATAATTTTTATAATTTTAGGGGGAAAATTCAAAACATCTGGGATGCCATAACTTTTAAAAGATGTCAAAGGCTTGTTAACAGTATGCCATCAATATGCACTGAAGAATTAAAGAATAAAGGCTACCCAAAAATAAATACAATATTTCAAGAAATCTAATAACAAAAATTAAATATAGTTATTGTTACTATAATTCAAGAAATGACAAACGTAGTTTTTTAGGAAAATATAGTTTGATCCACATTTCGCTCCAAAAATATCATAAAAGACTTGGTAGCTTTTACATCAGAAAAAAATTCTATTTCACTGAGTGCAACAGTTGCATCTTAGCAGTTCTCAAAATTGTCTATCTATTCTGTTTTCAATTGTTTACTTTCTTAATGTTTTGTATTAAGTTAACATTATGCATGAAGTATCTTATACATGTATTTTAGCATAAATTGATTTCATTGTTTTATTAGTTTATAATTATATATTTTATTTTACAGAAGTTTAACTTTTAATATTTTATATTATGTTTAGAGTTATAGATGTGGGTAGTGAATGGAGAACTTTTAGCAATGAAGCTAATGGAGTTGACCGTTGTCGTGTTGGTGGTGGTGAGGTTGCACATGTTTTTGATTAAGCCCATAATAAACAAATATTTTATTTGTGTTTCTTTTGAGTCGCTAATTTTAAATGTTTTAGAATCCTTTTTTGGATGGTACTGATCTTTCAACAATGGTTGGTTCTGATCGTGCCAGTGGTTCTGGATTGGACTTACAAGGATATGCTCGGTACCAAAATAGAAGTGGCGTAAGAGAAGTTATTTTAGTATAGTGTAAGAAAAGTTATATATATGTAAGTTGAGAAAAGTTATTTATATGTAAGTTAAGAAAAGTTATGTATATGTATGTTAAGAAAATTTGTATGTTGAGAAAATTTGTGTGTAAGTTTAATTTAAAAGAAGTTGGTGAAATGTGTTCTGCTGAATAATATTTTTATAACACAGATAAGTGGATCAGATAGAAGTTTGCTAAACGCCTTTAGAGAAATTCAAACTATGGCTTCTCGAATAAATTTACCTAAGACAATAACAGTAAGTTTTTTAACTGCTTTTTTTTTTTTTTTTTTTTTTTTTTTGTTAATATTTTTTTTGTTATTTTTTTTTTTTTTTTTTTTTTTGTTAATAGTTTTTTTTGTTAATAGTTTTTTTGTTATATTTTAATTTTTTAAGAGTTTATTTTATTATTTACAAAGTCTTTAATTAATTTTGTAATATAAAAACTTTTATTTTATTATTATTATAATATAACTTTTCTTTATTATAATTTTGACTAATATTACTTTTTTAGTGTGAATTATAAATTTATATTTGATTATAAATTAAATATTTTTCAAGCTTTTTTTATATTAAATATTTTAAGAATGATTAAATCATTAATCAAATGTTGAAAATAATAATAATTATATATATATATATATATATATATATATATATATATATATATATATATATATATATATATATATATATATATATATATATATATATATATATATATATATATATATATATATATATATATATATATAAACCGAGAGGCTGAATAATAGGGTGTGTCAATTTTAGACTTTTTTTGAAAAAAAAGTTTAATAAATTTTGGGGTATAACTAAAAGTTGCGAAATTTTACGGAGAATCTAAATCTGTTAAAATTTTTTAAATCAGAAAAATATTTACTTAGGTGATTAGCCTTTTTATGAAAGTATTAACGGTTTTTATTTCCTTTTAAACTGAACAACGACGTTACCGGACAATACTGTACGTAAAAAAAAAACAGACTTTTAAACAAAACAAATTTACATTAAGTTTATAAAAAAATCATTTAACTTAATATGTATAAAGTCTTTTATAAAAAAATTTTTGTATTAAATGCGTAAAATAATTTTTTATTTTAAAAAAAATTTACTCAAACGTCATTTTTTAATCTTAATAATGGTCAGTAAATTAATTTTTCATTGCCGCATTTAGTAAACAATTGCGAACTGCATATTGTTAAATATAAATTTAAGAACTTTTGATCAATTGTTTTCATTCTTAAAATATTTAAAAAAAAATTTTTTTTTCATTACTAAACAATAATAAATTCTCTTTAAAAGTTTTATAACTTGGAGGAATAATAGCACCCAAAACCAGAATAAGTACTTGTACGCAAATTAGTGTTGCATTTGGTACAGGAAAACAATTTCTAGTTTCAGAATTACCAACCAACAGAGATGTTATAAAATATGCAATTTTATTAAGAGAGGGCTGCAAAGACATAAAAAAAAGAAATTATCCTGTAAAAGAGATGGCCAAAGATATACTTCCAGCTTTATTACACCAGTGGTCGAGTGCAAATTTGGAATTTACATTGCCTAAATTAATTACTCATAAAATAATTTGTGATAAAATAGTGACTTTGTGGAACAACGCTTCAGCAATAGCTTGTCCAAGAAAAAAAGGAGCTAAACAAATAAAAAAATTTAAAGAAAAACTTGATAAACTTTTTGATATACTAGTATGCAAATGTCCAATTGTAAAATGTGATGATTTTATTTGTTCTGATGATTGTGATAAAGAAGTTCATTGTAAATGCAAATGTACAAAATAACATCTATTGACTTTAAGTTTATATATTTCAAAGAATTAAAACTGGAACTGTTAGCAAGTTTCAAATTGGATTACCTGATAGTATTGAAACCAGGAAACAGTTCAAAAGATTACTTAGAAAAGATCGAGAAAAATATTTTGAGAATAAATACAGCAATGTTATTTTAACTAAAAAACAAAAAATTGAGTCAGATCAGATAAACTTTCAAAAAGAAAGTGATTTTAGTAATGAAATAGAATTAAATGATAACATTGATGATATTACTAATGTAGAATTACCTTTAGTATCAGAGAAATCATTAGGAAAAAAAAAGATGTTACAATACCTTAGAAATTTCACACATAGCTATGAATAGCGTAAGGTATAGTTCTTTTTAAATAAATTTTTAGTAATGTATTTATCCTTATAAAGGTATATATATATATATATATATATATATATATATATATATATATATATATATATATATATATATATATATATATATATATATATATATATATATATATATATATATATATATATATTTTAAAGTAATTCTATTTCTGTGTAAATTTTGCTCACATAGATATGGTCTATCTGCACATGCTACAGCTGCAATTGCTACAGCAACACTAATTGATGCAGGATTAATAACATCTGATGGAAAAAAGTTAATTATTGATCATAGTAAAGTTTCGAGAGCGCAAGAAAAAGTTATCTCTGATCTTAGTAAGGATTTTGATAAAATAGCAAAAAGTGGAGAAGTGAAATGCATATTTTTTGATGGGAGAATTGATCAAACCGAGCAAATGATTGAACTTGATGACTCAAATGCAAAATTTCCAGTAACAGTGAAAGAATAACATTACTCTGTTTGTATGGAACCTGGAGGAAAATATTTGTTTCACTTTACTCCTGAGAAAGCAACAAAAAGTGTTAAACATGCAGAGATTATAGCAAATAAAATTGTTGAATGGCTGACTGAGAGAGGTATTGACAAGTCTTTACTGGCTGTTGGTGGAGACTCTACAAATGTAAACACCGGTTGGGAGGGTGGAGTCATCAAACATATAGAAATAAAATTAGGAAAAAAACTTGTTTGGCTTATATGTCAACTCCATACAAATGAGTTACCACTGAGACATCTTATAACCAGTTTAGATGGTCAAACGAAATCAAACAATAAATGGTCTGGTGTTATTGGTTCCATGCTTGATCATGCTACAGATCTAGATATAAATTCAGTATTTGAAACTATTAAAATTGGCAAACCACTTATTTCTCTCAATGATAAAATAATAATTGACCTATCTGCAGATCAATTTTATGGTTATAAAGTTGTTTGTGCCATTAGAAGTGGTATTTTACCACCAAAATTTCATTTATTACAAATTGGGCCTGTTTCACATTCAAGATGGTTAACTACTGCTAACAGAATATGTAGAATATGGATCTCTAAACATGGAATTCAAGGTAAAGATTTAGAAAATTTAAGATGTATCACCGAGTACATTGTAGGTGTTTATTTTCCTTGTTGGTTTAAGATTAAAGTTGAACATTCTTGGATTGAAGGTCCTAAACATGTACTTTACCAACTGCAGCAACTTAAATTTCAAAAAGAAGATGTCATTAAAATAGTATCACCCTCTGTTCAAAGATCAGCTTGGTTTTGTTTCAGTGAGTGTATACTACAAACATTGTTGTGTTCTAATACTGAAGAGGATAGAAGTGTAGCTATTAATAAGATAAAAGATATTAGAGGTACTGGAAATGAAGATCTACAAAAAGGTGATTCCTCTCCTAGACCAAGAAAAACGCCTGTTCTGAACTTTAATGCTGAAAAATTGGTAGATTTAATATCATGGGAGTCACCGGTTTATGAACCAGTCTTAACTACCTCTCTAACAACTTCTGAAATTAATGTGTTTTTATCAAATCCTATGCAGGTGCCGATTTGGCCATGTCATGGACAATCTGTTGAACGTTGTGTAAAGCAAGTTACAGAAGCTTCAAGTAGAGTGTACACTCATGAAAAGAGAGAAGGATTTGTCCGAACTCAAGAGGCGAGTAGAAAGTTAATGCCTAAAAATAATAGTAAGCAAGACCTTGAAAGTTTGACACAAATGTTTTTGTATTAAATTTATAATATTTATTGAAATAATTCGGTTTTTTTTTTTAATATCTTGCTGTATTTCTAGCATCAATACCAATAAAATTATTACGCGATGTTAAGGCAAACTGTATTTAAAATACATTGAAAAATATTTTAATATATATAAATTAATCTCAATCTAGTTTCAGTTTTAATTTAATATGCATATTAAAAATTAATTTCAAAGTCTAATTTTGAAATAAGAAATATTTCATTTATATTTTATACAAATTCTTAAAGAAAGTACTATAATATCTAAAATTAGTTTTAATCAACATTTATATTTCAACTGATATTTATCAAACAAAGTAGAAAAAAAGCTTATTAATTTCCAAGTAAAAACCGGTTTTTTTTTGAGAAACCAGGTCAAAATTTTATTGAAATATAAAAAGTTAAATCACCTAAGCAATAAAATTTTGATTCAATTTTTAAAAACATATTTGGATTCTCCGTCAAATTTTGCAACTTTTAGTAACTCCCCAATTTTTTTCTCAAAAAAAATCAAAAATCGACACACCCTACTGAATAAGCACAAATTTCATAAGTGCAAATGGCATAAGTGTGAAGCATTGGAAAAACTGGCATAAGTGCAAATTGGCATAAGTGCGCCAAATAAATTGAGATAAGTGCAAAGCACTACAAAAATTAGTACAAGTGCCAATTGGTATAAGTACGAATTGGCATAAGTGCGCCAAAAGAGTTAGCAAACATTAGCGTAAGTGGCAACTGTCATAAGTGGGAAGCAGTTGCAAAAACTGGCACTAGTGCGAACTGGCATAAGTGTGAATTGGCGTAAGTGCGCCGAATAAAATTTCAAATTTTAACACAAGTGCAAATTTGCATTTCGCAAATTTGCACTTGTGTTAATGTTATGCTTATGCCAATGTTTGTAATTTCATTCGATGCTCTCATGTCAATGTTTGTAATTTTATTGGATGCACTAATGCCAGTGAATTTATGAAATTTGGGCTTGTTCAGTCGTCCCAATAAACTTTTGGCTATTCAAATCAATTTTAACAAGTTTTTTAGGATCGTTCAAATCAATTGTTCAAACAAGTTCATGATCAGAAGAGTTTAAAAGGTAGAAGTAATGATGCAATAGCATCTGCCTGTTTATATATTGCTTGTCGTCAAGAAGGTGTTCCTAGAACTTTTAAAGGTATGTTTCACATTTAAAAAATTTTCAATAAAACTGTAAAATATCTAGTTACTGTTTTTCTATCTTTCGCTATTTATAGAGATTTGTGCAATAAGCAAAATACCTAAAAAAGAAATTGGTCGATGTTTTAAGTTAATCTTAAAAGCACTTGAAGCTAGTGTTGATATAATAACATCAGAAGACTTTATGGTTATTAATCTTTTAAGTAATTTTGCTGTTTTTGTAACAGAATTACATCTGCACCATCAAATTATACAGTTTTTTTGTTTAGTCTAGGTTCTGCTCCAACTTAAGTCTTCCTGCAAGTGTGCAACGTGCTGCAACTTATATTGCCAGAAGAGCTATGGAACTTGATTTAGTGCCTGGGTAAATAGTTTTTAAAATGTGTGTATATAATGTATATATACATATATATATATATATATATATATATATATATATATATATATATATATATATATATATATATATATATACGTTATGATACGTTATGAAACACTTTTAATCATTGATCTTTTCTAAAGTTTTTATTTTACGCGAGGCTTTTAAATAAAACCATAAAAATAATTACAATGATTGTTTACATAAATGCATGTGTTAATTAATAAAAAATGTTATACAAAAAATTAATAATAAAATATAAATAAAGAATATTAATAAAAGTCTTTCAAAAAAAATCATATTTTTTGAAAGTTTTTTTTTAATTACGATAAGAATGAATGAGTTTAAATTTTTTATAATAACTTTTAAATTGGTTACGTGAAGTGCTTATTAATAAAGTTGTAATGCTTAAATTAAATTGCTTGTTGGCGGTTAATTTTATTTAAATCGCAGGCGCATTTTGTTGTTTATTTTTTCCCCTTTAAAAAAAGTTTAAACCTTTTTTTTAACTGAACTTACTAATTAAAGCTTGAAATTATTAAAAATTACATACAACATTATATACAAAACTTTTTTAATAAATTTGATAAAATTTGATTATTTATTAAACAATCATTAGAAGTAATTTATTACTTAATTTAAAACCGTTTTGTATAACATTATTAAAACGTTTAAAAAAATAAGTTTTAATAACATTTATTTTAATTAAATAGGTAACAAAATGTTTTGTTTTGAGTTCATTTTTTTTTTTTTTTTAGTGCTTATATAATTTCTTTTTCGTAATAAATTTTTTTCTTTTTTTTTTTAGGAGTTTTTTTTCTATAGTTTTTTTTTTAACTTTTTTTTCTAGTTTAAGTTTAGCTTAGCGTTTCTACATTCAGCGCATTTCTGAAATGTTTAAATCATCAAAACATATAAAAAATCGTGGTCAAGTTGTCAAAAAGTAAAACCATTTGCGTGGTCCACAATAGCGCTCGATCGCACGCCATTCCTATCCAAGCCTGCATTTGTATGGAGTGCGCAAACCAGCTAGTTTAGCTTTCTTTCACTTCCAGTCAATGTATTTCTCCGCCTGACTGCCCTGTGTTAATACTAGTAGAATCACCACCTATCGCATTTAATCTTTTATTGACACTATTTTTTTTCAAAAATGCTTATATATTTTTCAGCAATTACTTCAGTATGTTTTATATGTTTTTAAACTTTTTCAAATGTGAAAAGGAAAAGAAATCTACCACCGGACTCTTGACATACTGTATTATGTATGTATATATATATATATATATATATATATATATATATATATATATATATATATATATATATATATATATATATATATATACATATACAGTTTTGACCCAAAAAATCCAGCCACTCAAAATTATTGTAGATAATTACTTGTAAATGGAACTTATGCTTGCTGGCAACTAACGTCTGAACAAATTTTGTGTCATATTATTTTTTTCTTTTGGATTGAAAACCCTGTATTCTAAAAGCTTGTACTTTTATATGGTTTTATTAAAAAAGCTTAGATTAAAATATCCGAAATTATTAAGTTACCGGAAATCGTGATTTAGGATTCATTTAAATTCCCGGAAAATTTCTTACAAGACTAGCAAATTTTTGCTTGTGGTTGTATATTTTTGAAACTTCAGGCTTGAACTTTTTTTTTATCATTTTTTCTTTTATCTATTATTAAAACCTTTATAATAGTTTCTATTTATAGTCATTTTTCTATCGTTTAGTTATCTATTTAATAAAATAAGAATTCTTTTTTATAAATTTTTTAACAAAACAAAGTTTACATTTTTTTTTTTCTTTTGTCATTAAGATCAAATCTTTCTTTGACCGATTAGTAGACATCAACTGTCTTGATAAATCTTATAAAACTATCCCTTTTTTTATGAGAATAAAATTTTCTTGCTGCTTCTGTTACTTGTTTAACTTTCCTTTCAATTGACTGTCCACGACAAGGCCAATCAGGAACATCCATAGGCTGAAATATAATGTTTTACTTCTTCTGTTGTCAGATTACAAGTAAGAATAAGCTCATAGAAGTTGATTAGCTGTATAATTGTTGATGCGTTAGGAGTTATTCTAGCTCTCACATTTTTATTACCAGTTTGAAGTTTTTTGTCACCAGGGCATTTGATTTTCACAATTAAATCTATGCAGTTTTTTCTTTCCTCTACATTCTCCAAGCAGATCAAGGTCTGTATGATCAATTTAGAAAAAGGATACCACACTAAACGTCGAAGTGTTGGCATAACAATTGCAACTACTTCACTTAATTGATGTTTCAGAAAGCTAAGTTGGTAAAGAATGTTTCTTGGCCTTTCAGTAAACCTGTGTTCAGCTTTAATTTTAAACCACATAGGCATTTAAACTCACACATGGAACTCAATTATTAATTTAAGGTTTTTTCAATGCTCGCTTTCCAACTCACGTTTTGAGACCCAAATTTTGCAAAGTCTGTTGGCAGTTGTCAACCATCTGATATAATTAACTGGGCCAATTTCAAGTAAAATCAGACATAATGCCAATTTGTACTTATGCCAGTTGGCACTTGTACTAATTTTTGTAAGTGCTTTGCACTTATGTCAATTTATTTGGCGCACTTATGCCAATTTCCACTTCAAATGGCAGTGAGTATTTTGAATAAATTTCCAGACCAATTACATCATTTAATAATTTTCCAATACTGCTTCTCCATTTGTTGTTGCTCAGTCCATCAAGAGTTATCATCAGATGACGTAGAGGATTAAAGTTCATTTGTATGGAGTGCGCGAACCAGCTAGTTTAGCTTTCTTTCACTTCCAGTCAATGTATTGCTCCGCCTGACTGCCCTGTGTTAATACTAGTAGAATCACCACCTATCGCTTTTAATATTTTATCGACACCATTATTTTTCAAAAATTCTTATATATTTTCAGCAATTACTTCAGTATGTTTTATATGTTTTTAAACTTTTTCAAGTGTGAAAAGAAAAAGAAACCTACCACCGGGCTCTTGACATACTGTATAATGTTTCTTTTGATTGTAGCCGGATAATATTTAGACAAACCTTCAACTGTTAATTGAACTTTTGTATTTTCAATTCTGCCATCAAAAAAAAACAATCAATAATAGTAGCCCTGCATTGAGACTGCATAATTTTTTCTTGACTTTGTTGTGATCAATAACTAACTTGGTATCGTCTTCTTTAATTAATCTTGCATCTATACAAGTTGCTGTTGCAATTACAGCTGTTTGCCTTAAGCTCGTACCATATTTTATGCCTGCTAAAGCTATGTTGGAAATACTTTCATAATTCTTTTGTCCTCATTCCTGAACTTCATTTTGTCAATGCATTAGATTAAGTTCAGTATTGCTGTTTGTTATGCAACATTCATTATTAAATAGTTCCTCTGTTTTGCTAACTTCAAATTCAAATCTTCCTGACTTCTAATTGTTTAATCTTGAATTAGATTTTGTTAGTTTTAAGTTGAAACAGGCAGATGTTTGTAATATAACTAAAATTAATTTTACGAGTTTAGTTAAATTTTATTTATTAACTAATAATTGTTTAAAAACTTAACTAATTAAAAAAATCTTACTTCTTACTTCAATCTTCTTACTTTAATTTCATGTAGCTTTTTTTTCCTTTTAAGTCTGCTAATCCAATTTGATGTGTATTGGTAGTCCCTATTTTAGCCCAAGTATTAAAACTAACAATTTTTTGAATCTTTTTTTTTTCTACAGGGAGGTGAATAATTAAAATATATATATATATATATCTGTGTGTGTTCCTTGAGCCATGTTTTTGCAGTTTGTTTTCACATACAGTTTTAACTAAGGTTGAAATATGGTTCATTTTTATGGCAATTAAACATGCTAGTCAAATTTATCTGAACCAAGACCTGCATGTATAGCATTTACAGATATGTAATATCTGTTACACTTCTCTCAAAAATTCGAGATAACCTCTTTTGACCCAGAGAAACAGATGTGGGGTTTGAAAGCCCTTGACTCTGTGATCACAAAAATGTAAAAGTTGAAATCAAAACATTATATCCAAGAAAATAATTCAACATTTAATTTTATTACTATCAACATCAATAGTGTAAATGACAGCATTCCAATTTTTGACATTTCTACAGCACATATAAACATAAAATTCTTTAAGCAACAGTCAAGACTTAATATAAATATACATTCTGAATAAAAATTACGTTTACAGATTCGTTTACAAGTGCTTGCTGTTAAAATCAGTCACACACATGCGACAATCATTACCAATGAAATTACCTCCACGGTAAGGCTGAAGATTAATATTAAGAGCAGTTGCCCACTCATCAGTTGGAGGCCAGACTGTTTTGATAATTTTGTAGAAGTGGTTAACAACTCCAAGCAAAAGATGAAGCTCCATGGGAGAGATAATTTCCAAAACCAGACTAGTGTTATCTGCATGAAGAATAGGTTTATGGATGACATTCCCATATTTCTTGGCATTTTTTATATCACTGCCAGCAGAAGCAAATGCTTGAAAAGAGGCTTTGAGGGAACCAAAAGTTCGTAGGTCTCCACATTCAGCAAGGTTAGTTGAAGGAGCTGTGCACCATGTGCATGGATGCATGGAAGCGTGATATTGAAGAACACATAGAATATTGGTAACTTTCAAGTCACAAGATACCACAAAATTCTTTGAGTCAGCTTTGATCAAGGAGAAATTATTCTTGAGATTAGAATAGTTTTCAGACATTCCTTCAGAGACAGCAACAAGTTGCTGATTGCAACCACTATCTTTGGAGCTCTTTACTGTCAGGAGTCGTTTGCTTGGTGGAGAACGAACTTTACAGTGCTATAATGTTTCTACAACCCCAAGAGAAAATTTTAGTAATCCAGCTCCCCCATCTATTCCAAGCTTGACAATGTGATCAGAAAATATTTTTTCTTTCTAAAAGGATGTGCTCCAGCAGTTCAGAAAAATCTTTACAGTGAATAATTGTTGCCATTTCGACTTTTGACCCTTTCTCTTGCATGACTTCTAGCTTTGAATATGTGAAAAAACTTGCAAGATTGGTTTCTTTTTCAAGAAACTTGGAGTCAATTTATGGTTCACTGACTTTAAACTGTGATACTTGATTAAGAGTTGATGCTAGCTTTCTTATGCCATTGTTGGACATTCCTGTATTGATCTGAATTTTGGCAAGATCTTGTGCTGTCACTCTTGTAGGGGCCTCAAACAACCGCCGAGAGCTTGAAGAACCTGTCAGATTATAAATTTATAATTAAGTACATTGTGTTTAGGTTTGAAAATAAATTTATGAGCATAGCAAAAATCTACCTGGTGTCAATGCCAACAGTCGTCCATCTTGAGCTTGATTTAGGCGAATTGTTCCATGTGGTGATGCCTCTTTTTGACTGATAACAGTAGCAGCTATTTGGTCAGAAACTTTGCTATCTTTAGCTGCAAGCAACCTCATGTTTTCCCGAAATGTGTATTCATTGTAAGGATGGGACATACCTTTGCCAAGAACTGCAAGACATTTGGAGCATCTATGGTCACCCTTCTCGTTTTCAGTCTTCTGCCAATTTTCCAAAGGATGCCTTTGATTGAGCTTAAGTTGACCAATTTGACAGATTAGGCATTGGCAAGCTTGCTCTCTTGTGGAAATCTTGGGATAAATTTCTTGAAAATTGAATGGCAGTGGTATGCTTACTTCTTTGCCTTCATCTTTTCTCCTCATTGTTGAACGACATCCTTCACAAATTCCTTTTGGAACTCTTGAGTCTTGAAAATCAACATCTCTTTAGAGATGTTGATTTTCTGACTGTCTTCAATTTTTCAATTATTAAAGGTGTTATCTCTCGTTTTGCCTTGTGCATGCAAAGAAAACAGACAGTTTTTCGGGTTTTTTCAAGTGATTTTGCAAAAGTGGGCATTTTTATTGCGGCAGTTGAAAATTATGTTAATCATGAATTTTTTGTAAACAAATAAATCGTGCATTTTCCCGAAAAATTTACTTAAAAAATGGGAATTTATAGTGAGTGTACCTTGATCGTCACATACAAAAGGACACCAATACAATTATATATGCTGTATTATATATCACATATAAAAGGACACCAGTCAGTAATACAATTATATATGCTGTAGAAATGTCAAAAGCTGTCATTTACTCTATTGCTGTTTATAGTAATACATTTAAATGTTGAATTATTTTCTTGGATATAATGTTTTGATTTCAACTTTTACATTTTTGTGATCACAGAGTCAAGGGCTTTCAAACCCCACATCTTGTTTCTCTGGGTCAGCTAAAAGAGGTTACCTCGAATTTTTGAGAGGAGTGGTTAATGCTATATCTAATTCTATATCTTTTTTTCATCACATTTGTACAATTTTTTCCTGTTTCCTACATTGCTAAATAACTTTTTGAATTTAATTATTTGAAGTTATTAAGTTGTAGTTTTTTTTTATTTCAGTCGAAGTCCTGTTTCAGTTGCAGCTGCTGCTATTTATCTAGCTTCACAAGCATCTTTGGACAAAAAATCACAAAAAGGTAAAATATTTTGTCAGTTAAAAATGTGCTATACATACATATCAACCATAAAAAAAATGAATTCATAGTTTTATATTAATTTTTTTCATAGTTTAGAAAAATTATTGTCAAACAATATTTTCTTGTTTTTGTTTTTGTTATTGATTTTGAAAAAAACTGACTTGCACTGTCTCTTTATCGTGCTGGCAAGCCCCGTAAAGATTGCTTTGCAATAGATGTTTAAATGGTTTGCAGTAGTAATTGATCATTTGAGAAGATGGAAAATAGAAGACTCAGTAAGAGTGTTGCATTAATATCACCAATAGTTATTAATATCAACTAAGTTGTTCATCTTTTCGCCAGCCACAGCAAACTCTAGCCAAATAGTCCTATGAGACCCAATAGGATTTTGGAAAGAAAATAAAAAAACAAAACCTTGATAACTTTTTAACTTATGTGTTTTAATTTAATAATATTCAAATCTGAAATTTTTTTGGTTCCAAATTCTTATAGGATCCTGTAGGAGTTTTTGGCTAAGGAACCCAAAGCTGTCACAAAAAAGAAAAAGAAGAGAAAAGCCATTTAAGATCGGCTGCCTGTTCTAAGCAATCAAAAAGTGATGGGTTTTTGTGAAGACTGTATAATCATTGCAAATATAACTACTTTATAGGTAAGATTACCAGAAAGATCATTTATGTAGATGAGAAACAAAATAGGTACCCAGAAGGTCACTCAAAATAAAGGAGAGTGTTGTCCATTAAGGACAACTTCATTACAGTATTAATACTGTAATTAAAAAGAATGATTTGATCATTTTAAAAACTTTCTCATGCACCATATGAAATGAGAAGATCCATATACCAGGCTTTATTGAAAGCTTTTTATATATCAAAAGTGATAGCCCTTGTCTCGCTGTTAAAAAAATGTTAGCCATTAGGATCATCAAAAATGTTAGCCAATTAGGATCATCAAAAGAAAATTAAAAAATGAATTCCAGTCAACTATAAGAAGTTAATTGAATGAATCTGATGTAGAATAAGTACAAGATAATAGAGAACAATCAGAGATCAGAAATGAGATGCAAGTGATTAGGGAGATAAAAGGTCATAAAGTTCTATCTGAGATAAAGATTGAGAAAGACAAAAATTTTAACTTTTGAGTTAGCAAGGTCAGAAGCCAATTAGTGTGATGAGCATTAAAGTCACCAATTGCAGTAATAGTTCAGAGGGATAAAGTCTAAAGATTTGGTTAATTTGATTAAAAACAACATTTAAGAGAGAACAGTCTTTAGAAGAATGAAAAAAAAAAAAAAAAAGTTATTAAGTGAAGAAGAGTTAAACATAAAAAAATGGTATTGATTTTGTTTCTAATATGTGAGTTGATACCTCATTATAGGCTTAAACCAAGCATGTGACAAGTTGATTCTTTAAGAATCATAAGATAATACATCTTAACATCAACACTAAACTCCAAAAACGAAACAGCCAAAATATAAATTAGTTTTACAAAGAGCATGCAGGCCTAATGGTTTGGTTGCAGAAAGTAAGATTCACCGGATGAAAACTTAAATTTAAAAGACCAAAAATATATGTAAAGGATTAAAGCGATTTAGTGGTAATGATTGTTTTTTTGAGTAATATTTTTAAGTATACTGTATTCATGTTTTTATTAATCATTGAACTTGACTCGATAATGCATGACACTCTATGCACCCTAATGACACTCTATGCAATAATCTATTTGGTTGCCTCATTCCAGCACTTCACACCAAAACCTTAGACTATGCGCAACATAGCACTGTTAGTTCTCTAAGAGATGCCACATTAGCCTCTCTAAGAGATACCACAGAGTTCAGGAAACCTTACTATTAGCCCTCAGAACTATTAAACCGAGTTTAAAGAGTGTACCCTCATTAGGGAATAAGAAAAAGAGTTGCATAGCCGCTCCCAAGAAAGCACAAGTAACCATATGAGTCAAGAAGATTCGTCATCTTAGACTGGAAACAATTGTACCTATTAGATGATAAAGGGTTGCATGGCTGATTGACATATATTTTCTATTTACCTCGTCTTTGACTAAGCCTACTTTAAGCTTTTACTCAACCAAGAGCCCCTAGGTAAAAAAGTAAATCCAAGGGCATGAAGCAGGCTTGGTATCAGAAAAAATGCAAATAAAATTAAACGAAACGTCTTGCTTTTAAGTACCTTCTAGAGTAGGCAACTAGTGTATAATTTGATTAAGGAACGATTGGATTGTACAATAACAATACTGGTACCTACTCTGAAGAACAAGATTTTACAATATGAAGAGGCAGATACCAAGGTCACTCTAATGTTAAAGTTGTAGGATGGTATATCTGGGGAGTTGTGAAAAAGTGCAATCTAACTACAACTGCAGTTCTATTAAGTCAAGTAGTTGCTTATGTGGTTTTCAAAATTGTTATGTTTTTACTTTTTTATTATTATTGTTGATAGTGTTATTTGTGTTTCACTTCCCCAAGGCCGGGAACTTTAGCCATCAGTACTTTATATACTAAACTCTTTAACTCCGAAGCACAAACTTTAACGAAAAAGGCGGAGCGGAAAAACAAGTTTATTTTATAATTTTGTTCTGTTTTTTATAATTTAAAAATGTGTTCTTTGTAGATATTAAATTTTGAAAATATCAATATCTTGATCGCAAATTTATTTGACTGATAAAACGTTTTTTTTAGACATAATATTATTGATAATATAATTAACATTAACAGTTTATAACAACAATAAAATATAATGACATGAAATAACAGTGTTATCTTTAATTACTTAGTTGTTATATTTATATATGTGTTTATACTTTTTAATCATATATAAATGTATATGTATGTTTGTATAAATTTGAGATTTGATTATTTATAAATCTTTTTCATAATAGATATTGGAGATATTGCAGGAGTTGCTGATGTTACTATCCGTCAATCATATCGCAGTTTGGTTGTTCGAGCAGCTGACCTATTTCCTCCTGACTTTGTGTTTCACACACCGATTGATAGACTGCCTACAAGTTAGTAGATGTTGCCTTCCAACTTTATTTTACTCGAAGCTTTACCGATTATCGACGTTATCGGGTTAGAGTTTTCAAATTGTTTAGTATTTATAGGATTTTACGGTCAGTTTTTTAAAAACTGTTGAATGACTTCGTTGGTCCGTATTTCTTTAATGCTTTCAAGAATCTAACTGTTGCGAAACATGTTTTATGGGCTAAAAACATATGTTGTTAATATAAATATGTTGTTAATTTAAACTTCAAACTTTTTTATTCTAAATAAATAGTTGTATTACTATTGAAGACTTTTTGAATTTGTGTTTAGCGGTAATTGTTTGTGTTATTGTATAATTGTGTTCAATTTTTTGAGTGTTATATAAAAAACAAGTAAAAATTATTTAAAATCATTTTTACTTCAAGATATTTGAATGCTATAGCATTTAATTATCAATATTCTGTTGTAAATAAGGTCGCCATGCAAGTATAGCAAACTCAAGAAGTCTCACAAATGTCACATAATGATTTTACCGTTTCCACATCGAAATATGTAAATTTTAATTAGACCCAAAGTGCTTTGCCCTTTTGCCGTCGCTGAACTCGCTAGACCATGTCATTTAATGTAGGATGAAATAATAACGCCAAAATCTTTTTCACTACTGATATATATCTAATGTTTGCTCTTCGCCGTCATGGGTCTTACTGTAATTCATTTTTGGATTCTTTTTACCTAAATGCATTACTTTACACTTTTAAACGTTCAACTTTGTCAACCAGATATTCATCCATTTTACAAACTCATTAATGTTGTTTTGCAATCATTTGTGATTTTCGATGATTCGTGATCTTTGATATCTTTTATAACTTTAATTACTTTACTGTAATCTGCGTATAATTTAAATTAAAAATTTGCACTAGATCATGTACAAATATAAAGAATAATAAAGGATCAAACGCAGAAGTTTGAGGTACCCCACTAAAAATCTCACTTTTTAACGTTCAACTTTGTCAACCAAATACCTGTCCATTTTACAAACTCGTTAATGTAGTTCTGCAATGGCTCGTGCTCTATAATATTTTTTATAATCTTTGATTAGTTTACTGTCATCTGCGTGTAATTTGAAAATTGACACTAGATCCAATAATACATTATATAACTAGATATCTAACTTCGATCCAAAAAGTGAAGCCGTTTTTTGCCCGTTTTACAAATGGCGGATTAAATTTGTAAATAAATATTTTTAACTTTTCTTTTCTTAAATGAAGTAAATAAATTTTAAATTTAAAAACTATTTATGTAAAAGCGTTGGGCGAAAATTATAATACTTTTAACATAATAATTTATGATTCCTTAATTTATTTTCGATTAAAAAGGGATTAAACTTTTAAATAAAAAAGTAAAACGATAGACGCTTTTGAAGGATTTTTATGAATTAAAATACTTTTTAATAAACATAGACTTATAAAAAAAAAAAATTTTATAAGTATTTTATAATTATTAAAATTTGTTTTTTAATTATCTTTAATTAATTGGGAGCTTTTGACTGGCATTTTTACACACTTCGGCTTCAGCTTTTGCCCTTTTTACAAATGGCGGATTATTGTTATAAACAAAAAAAAGTGGCTTTATTTTTTGTCCAATAAAATTCTGCAAGTTAGACATCTAGTTTATATAATGTATCATCGACTAGATCATTTTCAAATATCAACAACAATAAAGGACCAAATGCAGAACCATGAGTTACCCCAATAAAAATCTCATGCCACAATGACACGTACTCACCTATCATGATTCTTTCTTTTCTTTTCTTTAAAAAAGGCAATATCTAATCAAAAAGTACATCCTTAATGCTATATGCTTCACATATTTTCAACAGTTGTTAATGTGGGACTTCATCAAAGGCTTTGGCAAAACCCATATATATCATATTCAATTCTATACCATCACTAATACTTGCTATTAAAATGTCTAGTGTAATAATTTGTTACACACGCTTTTTTCTTTACAAAGCCATGTTGATTTTTTGACACCACTTTTTTTCCAAAAATTGAGTCATTATTACTCTTATAAATGCTTCCGTAACTTTGTATATTATAAATGATGGTGATATATCACTAAACCCGTATTTAATTTAATATAACCGCATCGATACAAATCTATAGTTGAGCGGTTCTGTTGTTTTTCAATTCTTAAATATTGGCATAATATTTTCTTCTTTCCATTTGCTTGGAATTTTCCTGTTTTAATTAGTTTTAGGTAAATTGAATTGCGACACTTCTTAAACAATAGACGTCCAGAAAATTTTTTTTTTTTAAACTGACTCATTTGTTATAACATTAATCCAATCCTACTTAAAGTTTTTTATAATTTGTAGTTCTAACCCCAAAATTACGCCTTGCTCTTCTGCAAAAACCGATTGAAATTGTTTGTTTAATATATTAACAATATCATGCTTGACAGCTGTGAGTACATTTGCATGATTTTTCATTCATTGTATTTTACCAATGTTGACATTTTTGTGACATTTTTTTCAAAAATGATGTTATAGACTATGAATCGCCAACTTTAGTCATACCGTCTTATGCTGAAACATGTGACCTATAGCTTTTAATAGGTTGTATTTTGTCTTGAAATTTACGTTTATTGTATTTTTTCACTTGACGGGTTTCGTCAAGCAAAGTAACACGGCGGCTTGTTGCAATAAATTTCGTGTTTGTCTTGTTTCGTTCTCATATTTGACTATAGATAGTGCCACATTTTATACTCATCAACTCCCGCGTTCCTGTCGGTCAGATTTGTTGTGAGAGAGTATCTAACGTTTTTGAGGTTAATATTATTGTTTAGTGTCTTAACTTGGTGACTTATGGCTAATAAACTTAAAAAATTCACAGTAGAAGTAGTTCCAATAATAAACGCGAAACAAAATGAAAACGAAGTGTTGTAAATAAAGATACGTATGAAGGTAATGTCATTAAAAAAGTAAGAGTAAAAAATAAGGAAACTAGAAAAATGACCTTGTAACTGGCAAATCTAAAAAGATGACCTTGTTACTGGTAAATCTACAAAGATGACCTTGTTACTGGTAAATCTACAAAGATGACCTTTTTACTGGTCTATAACTGATGAACTAGTGTGCAACCACGAAAATGAGGTTCACAAATTAAGACATTTTTGAATGTTGATAAATTCACAATACCAAAATAAACTTTACAATTTTTTTTTGTTGATTAAAGCTTTGTTGATTTAAATCATATATAAATGGATCAGGAATTTTTTTGGTGTAAAAACAAACATTGTGAATAACTACAATATAGTTTAAAATTAATTTTGAAAAAAATTGTTTTTATCTAAGGTAGTTCATAACCCCAATAAAAAATTCCAAATAAAACTAATTATTTTAAGTGCTGACTATTTAGCCTTTATAAGTCAATAAATAATTTTCTATAAGAGGTCGTCCATAAATTACATCACGCTTCAGGGAGAGGAGGTTAGTGATTTTGTGACGATTCGTACGGGACTTGTTGCTAAAGAGTTACGAGTTTATGACAAAGAAGGGGGTCAAAAATGGTCTAAAATTGCGTGACGTAATTTTTGGACGACCCCAAAACAATTGAATATTCTAAAAAAATTTGCTTCATTTTTCATACTTTTAGGCCTAAAATGACAAAGTTTAAAGCTGTTATTGAGTAAGTCGATAAGACTTTGCACCGGAGTTGCACCAGATTCACAAATCTCCTACTTATTTTGCAAATAATATTTCAAAAATTCAACAAAAAAAGAGTGAAAAACTAGAGTCACTAAAATACTTACTAAACTAGTGATGTGTAAAAAGAAACCTGTAAAATCTACATTTTTGAAAAATTTGCCTAGTTATAGCCTTTTAATTATAGCATTTTAATTATACCCTAAATATTTTCTCAAAAGTATTTTTATAAAAATATTTTCAATAACTTGAATTTTTATATTTTACCTTTATACTTTATCTGCATATTAAAAAAAAAATTTTTAATAAAATATTGTTATTCCACATATATTTTCATTTTCATAAAATTTTTCATTTCATAAAAATTTAGTTAAAATTGAAGCAAAATACCTTCAAAAAGGTAAAACTTTACATACAACTATGTTGTATGTAAAGGTAAAAAATGCTTAAAAACTAATACATATAAGATTTTTTTTAATTTTTTGTTTATTTATTTGAATTTCATGCTATACTTTGCAATAAAATGCTCTTATATCCAAACATTTTGTTGGCTTAGCATATAAGAACAGCCAGAATTAGTCATAAAGACTAATACAAAGCATCGTTCGTTTTAGCGTCCGTGATTGAATTTTGCTCACCGAAGTCAAGCGCTGAGTTGGAGGTAACTAGATTTAAATACGTATAAATCAAAAGTTCGGGTTTTAACAACTCGTTTGACGCTCTAACGAACTGAGCTATCCAGCCACAGATACAGCTTTTCTTTTTTTGAGTTAAATGTTATTGTAAAATATTTTTTGTTACATGTTATAATAAAATATTTTTTAGTTACATGTTATAATAAAGTACTTTTTACATGTTATAACAAAATATTTTTAAGTTTTATTTGATTTAAATTAGGTGTAGTTTAGAGTAGTAACCGAAATTTTATAAATCCACATTTATATACATTGTAAAGTAACCAGCTGGATTTTCTACAGTACAACTATATTCTCCAGATCGAGCTTTAGTTTTAGGAATAATCAACCTGGTTTCTTCACTACCATACTGCTTTGGCAAGTCATCACCATCGTACTTCCAAACTATTTTAGGTGTTGGAATGCCTATAAATAGTCGTTAAATAGTTGCAATAATTGTTAAAAATAATAATATTATCATTAATGATAATAAAAATAATACTAATAAAAATAACAACAATACTAACAAAAATAGTAACATTATTAAAAACAACAACAACAACAACAACAACAACAACAACAACAACAACAACTACAACAACAACAACAATTACAATAACAACAAGAAAAACCACAAAAATAACAACAGCAAAAACAACAACAACAGCAGCAGCAGTAACAACAACAATGTATTAATGATAATTAAAGGTTTTTACCGTTTTTATATATTAGTATTGTACATAATAATTGTTAATCGTGATCATATATTTTGTCCTGCTAGACACAGTAACTTGAAAAATTGTTTGAGTGTTTATTTGAAAACGTAACATTTACAGTAACCCTTCGCGGTTTCACGTAATCTGGGACAATTTATAACTACTTTTGAGATATTACTAAGCAAAATGTTTTTAGTTTTATACATGATTATTTTGAAAGAATAATTTAACATTATTGTTTAATCAAACCATTCAAATGTTACAAATGCTAAAACTAAATCCATAAATTTTATTTTTCAAACTAATATATAAAAAGAATAAGTAATCTATAAGATTCACTCATAAGTAATAAAACTTCTGATTGCAAATAGTTTTTTTTTTCTTATATAGATAACCTCTTCCATGATTAATTCGAGCCAAAGAATAAAAAGTTTACGTATGTTCAACTACTGCCTACAGAGGATCTTCTTAACAACGCAAAATTTTAAATATGTAAAATTCATTCGGAATAGTTATTCGATAGAATTTACTACAGCCATAAAAAGCAACTACGGATTTTGTTATAATAGTCTGTAATAAAGGGTTTGTTAACAAGTTTTTATGACGTTTGTACGACTCTTTATTGAGTTTCTGTTCGCACTGGAGATAAAATATATAAAGTACTAAAAATTTCTTACTTATTTAATGACACATATTGTTCTAGAGGAAAATTTATTTCATAAAAAAAGAGATAAACGGCATACGTAATGTCACAGGTATGTGATACCAAGTATACTGAAAAACACTTAGATAATCTGTTATTTTATTTTAGATAAAATAAAACATGTGTTAAACATGAAACAGAAAAACATTAACAACAACAAGAGCCAAAGGTTGTCAAACCTGTGGCAAAGCAGTCAAGCTTCAAGTTATTATCATCTGTTAAATCAAAACCAAATTTCGTCAACTTTGGAGCAGCTAAAATAACAAATATTATTTTGTAAAAGATATTTTATAAAATGATTATATAACTGTTGTTTTTTGAGAACTTACAGCACGATCTGGATTTGCATTGACGCCTTTGTAGACTTTCTTCTGAACAAGGCATTCCTCCATTAGCTGGTTTTGGATTTGTACAATTTCTTGTTCTTATTTGTGTTCCAAAGCCACAATTTTGGTCGCACAAGCTCCAATGGGACCATTCAGAAATTCCACCATGAACTAATTAAGAGTAATGAAATATTTAAAAATAAAATTTTATGAACTTTTATTATTTAATAATTTGTATATATATATATATATATATATATATATATATATATATATATATATATATATATATATATATATATATATATATATACACACATATAAATATACACACATATAAATATACACACATATAAATATACACACATATAAATATATATATATATATATATATATATATATATATATATATATATATATATATATATATATATATATATATATATATATATATATATAAATTATAAAAATTTTAAAAATTATAAAATATAAAATTTTTTTTTTGTTTGAAACAAATAAATTTAAGGACTTTTTCATAAGTTTATATTCCTTTTGACAGTCATTCCTTAATTTAGGTTCTCCATAAGATATACAATATTCTAAGAGTTTATTACATTTCCAAGGCAATTTAGAGTTGTTCCTTGATCTTAGATTATACTTTTCATTTAGATTTATTTTAAAATTAATGTTGAAGCTTGCTGGCAAGAGGAAAAAGAAAAATATATCCGTCATTTTCATATTTTTCATCAGAGGTTTTGCATGTTCTCGCTTATGTTTAGAGTATATGGTATAAATTTTTTAAAGTTTTGTTGTTTGCGTATTTGCCCATAATATATTTGAATAGTTAATAAAACCCAAAAATAATATATTTGGATAGCTAATAAAGCCCAAAATTGAGACTTCAATCAAATTGAGACATAATATATCAATGGTTGTACTTAATGCATAACGTCAGGGGTCGGCAAATTGTGGGCCGCGGCCCATTTGTGGGCCTTTGGTACATTATTTGTGGGTAGCCACCCAACCGCATATTATACAAAGTAGTGTAGTTGTGGGCCTTTTAGTTATTTTCCGGGCTGTAAAAATTCTAAAGCTTTTAAAATCACCAGATCTTGTGATTTTAGTCATATCAAAAAATATTTTTTAATGCTTTAAAAAAATATTTTTTGATATGACAAAAAATATTTTTTAATGCTCTAAAACACTGTAACATTTTAACAGTTCAAATAAGATCGTAATACTTAAAAGTTAAGTCATGCTGAACAAATGACTCTACAAAAATTAAAACATTCGAAAAGCGCGTCGAAAATAATTATAACATTCGAATTTGTTCAGATGAAGTAACTTAAACAACATAAGTTAATTAATTTAACGCTATAAAAAGTACTTCTTAGCAAAATACCAGTGGTAAAAATTATCGTCGGATGTTTTTCGTACTTTTCATCATTCAAAAATTACCAAAGCTATTGACGTAATGATTACGTCAATAGAATTTTATACTTGCTTTCTTTTTATTATTTTATCATTTAAATAAAGTTTGGATAACATGAAAGGAATGTTTTATTCTGGTGTTTTTTTATGGAAAAGAATATAATTCGTTTTCTCAACATTAAGTGTTTGTTTGCTCTAAATATTTGACTAATTTAATTCCATATTCCATATACGTACTGTAAAATATAAAATTATCTAATACTAAAAGATTTCACAGAACCATTATGATTTTATTTATTTTAAACATATTTCAAAATTTTGTATTCTTACTGACAAAAAATGTGTTTTTATTTTAATCATTTGGCCGTTTCTGACTGAGTAAGCAATACTGTATGAATTAAAAAACTGATAACAGCTTCTTTAGTGAACTCAGCGGTTAACTTTCATTTAATTGATCTAAACTTAAAAAGATCTAGCTTTATTTTATTGATTTCGGCCTCGGTCTTTTTACTAACGTTGTCGGCTAAACGTAAAAAATACTAACATTGGCCGCTGTAATAACAGATGATGTACTTCTGTTGACCCAACATGTATATCTTGGCAAGAAGTTAATTTAAACATAAGTAAGGTACAGTTTGCTTTAAATAACTTGAAAAATAATAAATTTGTTTACATTGAAAAAACTATTTTTTTTTTCAATCATAAAAGTAGATCAAACAAAAGTTTTAGTTCATGAAATCATCTACAAAAACTGTACCACAATTAAGTTTATTAGAACATCTAAAAACCTTTATATAAATTCTATTAAACGCTACAATTTATTAGCTTTTCTAGTTGTAGCAAATTGTAGCATATCCTACAAATGTAGCATACCCTGCAAATACATGTAAATAAATGTAGCATACACTGCAAATGTAGCATATCCTACAAATACAAATGCGCAGACTGTATCAATACTTTTATCCCAAAAATGTACCAATAAAAAAATCTTTATATAAGTTTCTCAAAAATTTAATAAAAATTCTAATACTGCATCATCCCGATGGAATGCTCAGTAGAATGATTTTGTGGATTTGCTTAATGTTTTTATTCTCCTGTTATAGCAAATCAGTTCTGCCATTCTTCATTTGCTTTCTTTTACTAAAGTTCAAAAAATAGATAATTTTATTCAGCAGAATGTAATTGTTTATATTATTAACCAAATAAATGCAAATAACTTTTTCATATATTAAATCAAATAGCCGCACTCTTCCTATCACCTCAACGATACAAGTCAATCCACTGTTGAACATTCATGCAACCCCTACTTCTATTGCTGCAGTTATTTCTAATTTATATTTTTCAACAGCTTGTTGTCAGGGCAACATTCTTCTCATTGCTCTCTAAACTATTTAACAAGTTTTTAACACTTTTTTTAAATATATTTCGCTGTTCATACAAAAATAAAATAGTAAAACTACAATGAAACTTTTACGTTAAAAAAAGAGTATATATAAAACAGACAGGGGTTCAAAGAGGATACGAATGACTGGTGTCGCCACAATCGTTTTTAGAACCCCTTTACAATCACATTTAAAGTCCACATGGCTTTAGTAAATTTACAATATAATATTTTTTCTGAAAAATACTACGCGAAGAATAAAAACTCATGTAAACATACATACTCATATATACATATACACATAAACACACACATATACAAACATACTTACATATATGTCAGAAATTTAGGAGATGCATTTTCATTTGTTGTTTAAAAGAGAAAGTGCTTTTCAAATTTTTTATATTGTTATTTTTTCATTGAATCCGTAATGACGGGCCTTGGCTAATAATTGAGAATTTTGACACTTGCGATTTTTACATTGCTCAAATGATGGTTATGATTGGTATTTGACCGAAGATTGTACTTTTGTGAAAACGCCGATGTAAAAATATCAGAAAAACTTTTGGCAGCAAGTTATTCTTATATTTATACATAAATATTAATATTTGAAGCGAATTAAGTTTCGATATATTTAAAAGACTCATATATTTCATTAGAGGCGAAGGGTTTTCTAATATCTTTAAATAGTTAACTGCTTTACATGCGTGGTTTTGTAGGCTCTATAATCTTATTAATTTAGTTTTATGTGTGTTACCCTAAATAATATTAGCGTAGGATAGATGACAATGACTAAGACTGAAGTAAAGCATTTGGCGTGATTTATAATCAAGAAAGTCCCTAGATTTATAGCACTACCCAGCTAACACAAAATATTCAAGTACATTCGACGAACATTGCGAACGTTCAAGAGCGTTCTATGAACGTTCATAGAACGTTCTTGAACGTTTGCAACGTTCGTTGAACGTTTTGTGTTAGATGGGTATATACACTTATAGCAGGAGATATTTTTGCTTCAAAGAGACTTATATGTTTTTTCCATGATAGGTTCTCATCAAGTATTATTCCCAAAAACCTTGTATGATCTACTCGATTTATATTTTATTTTTATTGATTTACAGTTTTAGCAATTTTAACTAAAGATTAGTTGATTGCCTTATTTTATGGAAGAAAGTAAAACTTGCTTTTTTCACAATTTAATGATATATTAATATCTATATATATATATATATATATATATATATATATATATATATATATATATATATATATATATATATATATATATATATATATATATATATATATATATATATATATATATATATATATATATATATATATATATATATAACGGGTGGTTACTAAAAATCCGGACAAACTTTAACTGAATTTTAAATGCCACAAGCTAAATCTTTTCTATTCATGTTTATATCCATTTTATAGCTTATTTAATTCTCTATAAGTTAATTTTTTTTTTTAAGATAATTAATAATAATTAAAAAAATAATGATGACCAAGCAAGAAGAGGTAAGAAAACGGATTTACGAGTTCTATTTGAATAATAAATTGCAAGGTAAAAAGTTCACAGTAGCTCACTTCAATGCTAAAAAAATCCCAAGAAGCACTATCTATGATATAATCAAACGTGTTGAGAATGATTCTGGGCACAAAAGAGTGCAAGGAAGTGGTTGTGTGGCCAAAATCATGACCCCTAAGAGGATCAAGCGCCTGAAAGCCATATTTGATCACAGTGACCAAGTTTCGATGAGGCAAGCTGGTCGAAAATTTGGATGCAGTCATTCACATATCATTAAAACTCTTGCCAAGTACACTGACATCAAAAGTTATACAAAACAGGGTATACCTCATCGACAAGAGAACCTGAATGAGCGAATCAGGGCTGGCATTGATCGTCTTTATCGCGTTAAAGGAAAATTGGTCATCCTTGACGATGAGTCTTACTTCACGCTGTCACACTCAACAATTAATGGAAACAGCACCTACTACTCTAGCAACAGAGACAAGACTCCACCAAGTGTTAAATATCGCAAAAGCGCAAGTTCGAACCCAAGGTGCTTGTCTGGCTGGCCGCTTCTGACAAAGGTGTTTCAAAACCATTTTTTATACCCAGCGGCCTTGCAGTCAATAAAGCCATCTATGAAATGAATTGTTTTAGAAAAAGATTAGTGCCGTTCATCAACGCTTATCATGCCGATGGTAATTACATATTTTGGCCGGACCTGGCTTCATCGCATTATGCCAAAACCGTGACCAGCTGCTACGAGATTCAAAACATCAATTTTATCAAAAAAGTTGACAATCCGCCAGCCGTACCGGAGTGTCGCCCAATTGAAGACTTTTGGGCTATTTTGAAAGGCAAAGTGTATGAGAGTAACTGGCAAGCAAAAGACGTGAAACAACTACGAACCAGAATAAAGCTTTGCCTGAAAAAAATTGACCTTAACCTTGTATTTTCACTTTTTGGGTCAACTCGTGTTAGAGTTGGCCGAATCCGAAGAAACAGACTGGTTGAAGACAAACTTAATTAAAATAAATAAATAACTAAAAACTCTTTTTAATGATAGTTTTATTTAATCTCAACCATAAAAACTTTGGGAGTAATTGCACTTGAAAGTTTGTCCGGATTTTTAGTAACCACCCGTTATATATCATTAAATTGTTTATTTAAATATAATTTATTAATATATCATTAAATTGTTCAATAGTTTATATATATGATATATAAACCATTGGTTAACGCTTTTTAGTTCAATGTTCATTGTTTCAAACAATATATTTACATTAGAGTTGTTATAGAATAAATTTGTATCGTCTGCATACTTACTTGACGATATTTTATAAGAAGCTTTATTCATATCATTAATATATATTAAAAGTAATAAATGTCTCAAGATTGATTCCTGTGGGACTCCGCAAACAATATCAAGAGCTCCTGCCTCCTCTAAGTCAACAAACTGTTTTCTATTAAAAAGATATATGTTAGGTCTTTAATGCCGTAATGCTTTAACTTTGAAAACGAAATTCCGTGATCAACAGTATTGAATGCCTTAGAGAGATCGATAAATACTCCTAGTACTTGCTCTCCTTTATTCAAGGACATAGATATTTTATTTGAAAGTTCAATGATAGTATGTTCAATAGAGCAGTATCTCTGAAATCGAAATTAATTATTGTATAAAAGCGTATTTAATGTCATGTAATCATAAATTCTACTAAAAAATTACCCTTTCAAATATTTTTGAAAAGACAGGGAGTAGTGATATAGGGCGGTAGTTGCAAACAGAAAAACAATCACCACTTTTAAAAACTGGGTGAATTTTGGCTGATTTTAATTTATCAGGAAATATCCTATTCTCAAATGAAAATGCTATTAAATAAAATAATGGTTTACTTATACTATCGATAACATAGATTATAAATAGATTACTGGTAATGTCGTCATATCCACATGACTTGTTACGCTTTAGTTCAAATAGTCTTTGTTAAATTCGTAAAAACAAATATTTTTTTTTAGTAACAAATATTTTTTTATTGTCGTCATTAGATGAAACTTCGTGCGCAATATGATAGATAGGAAAATGATCAGAGAAATCTTTAATAAAAATACCTGATTCAAAATGATCTAAATAATTATTAGTTAAAATTGCGATCAAAGTAGTTTTTGTAATACTCGCTTAAAATTGTTAGAATGTTAAATTCAAGTATTAAATTAAAAAAATTTTTTGTATTTACTTTTTATAACACATAGAATTCAAGTTTAAATCACCAGCAAAATTCTGAATACTCATTTGCTATATAATTGTTCTAAGGCAGGGATGGTCAAATAGCGGCTTGCGAGCTGCATGCGCTCTTAGAACGTCATTGCGGCTCTTTAAAAGTTTATTGATTTACTAATAACAAAAACGTGAATTATACTAGTGATGTACCGGAATTCCGGAATTTGTGACTTTTATGTCATGCCGGTTCCGGACGGAATTATAATATTTCAAGCCGGAATGCCGTAATTTATTTTTTACTTTATTTGACATGTGACACAGACTGAGTAAATTAAATCAAAAAATCATTTACCTACAGGGCAAGGGTTAACCTAGGTAAAAAATATAAAAATTCTTAACAAATACAAGTAATTTTAGGTAAAGCTACAGTTTAGCGCCTACCGCATGTTGGTTGATAAAGCAAGGAGATTAAAAAAGGCTCACCAGTTTTATTTAGAATTTCAATACACTAAGTTTCAATATGTTTGTTTGCTTTACAAAAAGTCTTTTTTGCTTTAAATACAAGCTTGTCAAGAATATATATTACAACGCCGCCTCCCATGCTTCAAACACGTGGTTGACTTATTATTTTATAAGATGATAAATTGTACGAAATATTTTCTGACAAAGACAGTTTTGTATCTTCCCAAGTTTCTGAGATATAACATCAAAAAGATTTCTGAGATAAAACATCAAAATGTTTAAAAGCTTCAAAGTTTTTATTCATTAATCTTTTGTTTATACTTAGGATACTAAAATCTTTATTGTCTATTTCTCGAGTAGACTCGTCAGGTTTATAGTATGAGCTGTCGAGACAACTTATATTTATTTCAGTTAAAAAACTATATTTGTTTTTGTTAGTTCTCAAAAAATTTAAAATTGGAGACTTTAAGTTTTCGATGTTATTTGTTATATTATTCTTGTTAGTTGAACTCATTTTTTATTAAATTGTTTAATAACTTTTAATCAAAGTCAATAAGTAATATAAAAAATAAAAACAATAAAAATAAATTTGTTTTCGCTTATCTTTGTTTGTCGTCACATTGCTTATACTCGGTATTTCTCTTACGACCAGGCGGTTGTATACTACCTTCGCATATTTTCCTTGACTTCGATGCATTTTTGCCTGTGCAAATAATTCTTTGCGGACTCTTATAGTTTCTTCACTAAAGCCTTCATTAATCAAAATATTTTTCCACTTAAGATTTCTTGTCCTAGCCAGAACGTTTTCTTTTTCCAGCCAGTTTAATAGTTTGCAAATAATTGTCCTCGGCTTGTTTTCAAATAGTTATTGGTTCATTTATTTTTAATAAGCGTTTCCGTATATATATCTTTTAATAAGCGTATTCCTTTTTAATAAGCGTTTTTAGTTTTTTTAAAACATCATCGTATGTCTCATTTGGTCCCTCTTCAACACCCACAATTTGCAAATTGTTTTGGCGATTGCGATCTTCCAAGTCGACTGTTTTTCTTTTATTCTCGGTCGATTCGCTGACTAATTTTCCTTGAAATGATTTTATTCCAATTAACGAAGTTTTAATTTCATTCATTTTTTGTCAACTTTGCTTATCGTTGTCTCAAGTTGATCACCGTTAAAATTAAGGCCACGTTTAAGGTCTCCAACATCTTTTTCTAAGCTATCAATTTTTTCTTGGAAGCATCTGAATGTTTCTTTAAAACACTTTAAAATTGTGTCAGATTGAATTGACATCAATTCCCTTAGCATTCCCATAGTAACATTGCCATAGTAACTACCCTTTCATTCTCCATAAGAATAATCAAAAAAAAACAAATTAACTTCGTTAACTTTCTTCGTTTACACGTGTGCTCAGTTTTAAATGTTTACACGTGTGGTCTGTTTTAAACGTTTACACGTGTGCTCTGTTTTAAACGTACTAAATCCTTCCCCCCTACTGGAAAATGATTTCTTTAAAAACTCTGAAAATCGCTTTGATATCTTAAAATATTTACAAATTATTTTTATTAGCAAAGCTTTTGATTAACAAACTTTTGAAATCTTGAGAGAAACAGCTTACTCTCTGACAACCTCTCTCTGACAACCTGTACAGGTTTTGATCGTCTCGTTCTACTGCTGACTTGTTAACAGTTATTACGTACATTTGTCGTAATCTAACTTGTGTTAACCATTTTCTTACTACTGATTTTGTTTTCTACCTTTCTATATATCTTATTTGTACTTGTATAGAATACTGTTTAGGCCCGTAGGAATAAAAATTATATTAAGGAGGGGGGTGGGGGGGACAATGCTGCATTAAAGAGCCCCGAAATAGTTTTAAGGAACTTTTTTTTTAGTAATTTTTTCAGTCAATTCTTTCAAAATTATTTATTTGAAAAATTATTGGGGGGGGGGGGAACAAATGTCACTGCTGCCCCCTCCCCCCTGCGGCCTGCTGTTGTTTGGTCTTATTTTTTAAATTAATTTAACTCCCAACATAATTAATATTTGCTTTTTTTGGAGTTAAACTTTTTTTTAACAAGCTAAAAATGTTCAATAAAACCGAGTGATTTTTAGGCTAAAAATGTTCAATTAAACCCAGTGGTTTTTAAGCTAAAAATGTTAAATTAAGGTGGCTCTACCCCTTGATTTTCCAACTAAACATGTTCAACTAAACGTAGGAATTTTTAAACTAAACATGTTCAATTAAACCCAGTGTTTTTTATAAAACTACCGAACTTTAATAAAAGTTAATACAAAGTTGAAATTATTGTTTTTGTAGCACCTTTAAATATTTTTTTTTTAATATTTCAAGTTAATATTTCAAAGTATAAAATTTAGATATATTATTTTAAATTATTTAGCTAATATGTTTTATTCAAGGGGTTTTTCCTTCAAAAAATACTCTACCGTTATTAGTCGCCAAGTATTTTTTACCATTCCGTCTTCAAATCAACGCTTTTTAAGTTTTTGAAGTTGGACTTTCTCAAGCACCATCTTGAAATTTTCAAGTTTTGTTTACACAATTACTCAAGCTTTTATTTTGAAGTCTGATTTGACCAAGTCAGATTTCAAAGTTCAGGTCGAAATTTACTTAAGTTCGCTTTTTGCATTCCACCCTTAATCTCTTTATAAATAAAACAGTTATTAAAAGTGAATTTACCGTTAACTTCCTTTGAGTGATCTTAGATGAAAATATACCATAGAAGTTTACCATTAAAGTTATTGAAAATAAAACCTTCAAAAATATTTCTATGTTATATACCTAGTGTATACACAAAGAAATATTTTTGAAGGTTTTATATACAAGAAGTATTTATTATGCTTAAAACACGTATTATCACTTTTTAACTATTTAAAATACGTATTAACGAATTTTCCTATTTCTAAATAAAAAAACTATATCTTAATCCATGAAGAATACACGTTTCGTTTATACATAATTATCTTTCCTATTAATGTAATATTTGGGGGAAGTACTAATTATTAATTAAATCAAAAATTTATTATTAAAGATAAAAACAACTTACCAATAACAAAGATGCTAAACTCATGTTTTATAGAAGCAGCACTGTTGTTGGCAACGCATAAATATTTTCCTGTATCATGTTCTGACGGATTGTGTAAAACAACTCCACCCTGTCGCAACTTCTCTCTAATTGATCCATTTTTGTTCAAGCGAAAAGCCTCAACATTAACTTTTCCTCCTGATGCCCTGCATGCAAATACATGCAACCTACCGTTTGTAATAGTGTTTTCTGAGTTTGGTAGCAATACCCATTGAAGAGCTAAAAGTAATATAAAAGTAATATTTTACGTAATAATAAAAGTAAAAATAAAAAAAATTTATGTGCTATTTTCTACAGTTTCAGTTTTTAGCAATTTTAGCAGTTTTAGAAACACTTACGTGGGCTTGGTGGCTCTATTGTTACCTTGGTTACTTGTGTTATGTCTAAAACAACAACTTTGTGCTAAAGATTATATAGTATTTTTGTTTTTTCTGGAAGTATACAACAATTTTGAAAAAATTGAAAGTGTAAAATAACAAAATAAGTATTAAATACTTTTTTCAACAAGCTCAAAAGTTGTAAATGTAACTCCAGTTAAAGGGTCTTTACAAACATATACTCCCAAGTCTTCTTTTTCAACATCTTTTAATTGAATAGAATTTAAGTCCGGAAAAAAAACCGTCTCCGAGAATCCCAACTCGTCAAAAGTTTTTGTCTTCGAATTTTTCTTGTACCATGTCACAAAGTCTTCTTTGTTTTTTGTTAAACATATTAACAGAACTTCTTTTTCACTGTTCAAATCAATATTAACTACTTTTGTAACTGAAATAATAAAAAAACAATAAGTAAATATAAAAATTAATTTACAGCAATGTAAAAGTTAATTTACAACAATTTAGATATTTTTAAGCATGTATTTAAGAAGTATATAAGAAATTTAGATAAAAAAAAGTTGCTGCAGATACGTAATAAAATCAACAAAGCAAAACAAATAAAACTAGATAAAAAATAATAAGAAGCAAAAATAACAAACTTGTTAGTAATAATGTAAAGTTGGCAAGTAAACGTTTAAGGTGTAACCGTCATACTTCAAACAATTATTAAACGTTAGATGTTTTATGAGAGTCAAACGCCAAACAAGTGTAGTTTAACCTTGTCTTGAAATTTAAAATTAAATTAAACTTACTTGATAAAACATTTGAAACTAATGCAATCAATATAAAGAAAAGCATTTTAGATTATATGAATATGTTTTTTAATTTGCATTATGAACAAAACATATTTTAAAATGTACGCGTTTTAAGTTACATGTTCTCAGGTTACTAAAACAGTTTGACTTTAAATAGAATGAACTCAACTTTTAAAATTCTGACACTTTTGCCTCTGCGTTTTAATACTTCTGTTAAGGGCTGTAATATTTTTATTATTATTATTACTATTTTTTTTATTAATACTTTTTATTAATACTATTAATACTTTCCATCTTTGTCTTATAATTAAATTATAACATAATTATCTTTTTTGAAATCAACTCCTAATTTATAAAAAAAAAATTAGTTTATAAAAAAAAAATCAGGATTGACGACACGGAGGGGGGGGGGGGGGCAGGGGATACGTGCCCTCCCCCCTCCCCACACATACACTTTTTTTTCTAGAGGACCTTTTTTTTTTCTTTTAAAGAAAAATCTTGATATAGAGGACTTTTTAAACCCGTGTCGTCGGCCCTGAAAATTAATTTATAAATATTATAATTTACAAAGAAAAATAGGCGTAAAATATTTTTAAATGTTATAAATCGTTTTTTTCAAATTAGGATTAACATATTAAATTGAAAACATCTTTCCATAAATTTACTATAAAAACGTTTTAACTTTAAATAATACACAATTACACAGTTTGTGAATACTACTCCGCTAAGTGGGATAATATATTCTTGGGCCTCTACTTTTTCTTATTTATGTAAATGATCTCTGGAGAGAGTCAAATATATCAACAATGTTTGCCGATGAAAGTAACTTTTTTATCTCAGGTAAAGATATACATCAATTCTTCGTACAAATGAATAGCAAATATTTCAACAAGTTTAAAGCAAACAAACTCTAAATTAATTCGGATAAAACAAAGTTTTCTTTATTCCATCTTTTAAATAAAATTTAAAAAATTCCTATTTCAATTCCTAAACTAATTATTGAAAACACAGAAACTAGTCGTGAAAGAGTGACAAAATTTCTTGGTGTGCTCATCGACAAAAATATATCCTGAAATAAACAAATTGCTTAAATTAACAACAAAATATCAAAAAGTATTGGAAGAGATACCTTGAATTCCAAGTATTGGAAGTCAAGGTATCTCTTAAACAAACATCACCTAAATTTTAGGTTTTGGGCTAAACAAATATATTTCATATATTTGTTTTATTTAAATATATTTATTTTAGGCTCAAACAAATATATTTTAGCTTTATACAAAGTTACTTAAATTACGCAAATATTGCTTGGAGCAGTACTACTAAAGGCAAACTAGAAACACTCTATAGAAAACAAAAATAAGCTTTAAGAATAATGAATTTTAAAAATAAAAGCGCACATGCAAAACCACTTTTTAAAATTATGAATATTCTTCATACATTATACGAGCTAAACATATATAAAATTTTATGTCTTGCGTACAAAAGTAAATTCCAACAATGCCCTTTAATTTTTTACGATCTCTATGAAATAAAACCTAATTTTAAATATACCCTGCGTACAACAGGTTTTTTAATTGAACCTTTATGCAAAACTAAAGAGGAACAAATTAAAATTACATATCGTGCTCCGCATATCTTGAATAAAATCTTAGAAAAAAATAGTAATATAACACGTGTAAAAAATATAAATTGCTTTCAAAAATTAATTAAAAAGAGTATTTTAGAGTATACAAATCTTATTATTGATTTCTTTTAAATTAATTTTCATTTCTTATTTAAATTAGACTCTTTTTTTTTTTTGCCATATAAATTTATTCGTAACATAAAACAATATGTAAATACAAATAGCAGGCGCAAGAAGAAGACATTTGTCTTATCGCCGAGCCCCTTAATCTATACCGTAATACACAATAATAAAATATAAAAATCGTAAAACTAAAGCACTAGAGCATATAAAATTTTGTTATATAGACTTTTTATATTTATAAGAAACAAACAACAAACAAACAAAAATATAAAATTCATAGGTCCGCAATGCCCCTCTCTAACTATAAAAATCTACTTTTTTTTCCTATTTTAATATAACAAAAAGAACAAAAATTAAATACCAAAGTAAAAGCAAATACTATAGTATAGAAAAAAATTATATACTTAAAAAGCATGCCCGCAAGTGCTCATTATCCTGAAACTTTCTTTTTAAACCAGTATACACCTTTACATATACATTAGAAGAAACCATGCGCTACGTTGCTCATCAATAGTCTTTGCTTCAATTTGGCCTTAAACTCATTAAGCGTTGCAATTGTTTTAAGATCATTAGTTAATATTTTATTCCATACTTTTGGTCCCCTTGTAGAAATTGAAAATTTAGTAGCAGCAAAATAATTTGTGGGCTGATGGTAGCTGTTATACGAGTATCTGGTTTAGTATCTGTTCTGATTTATTTTGAATAGCGGGTTAAATATTTTAAGAGTTTTATTAATTTTGAACATAATTATAAGAAGATGATAGATGTTTATTTGGTAGATATCCATTATATTTAGCTTAATATACAATGCTTGGGACTTAGAGAACTTTTTGTTCTTAATACCATTTTATTTACGTTTGTTTAATATAAATATGCGCTCTTATTTTGTAAAATATCTTGAAGTACCTTATTTATAAAAACTTTAATTTTTTTTTTAATATATTTTTCATCATCTTCATAATAAATTATTTACAATATATTTTTTTTAAAATTAAGATTTGAAGGAAGCAAGAAAAAAGTCCTATCATCCAGCCCCGTTGTATCATTTACATGTTAAACTAAGAATAATCTATCATATAAATAAAAATATTACAATCTCAGTAAAGTAATATTAAATACTTTTAAATAAAGTGTTACATTTTTTTTTTTAAATACAATACAACTTAAAATAAATTAAATAAATAAAATATAAAGGTAAGTAATGATGTAAAGGATGATGTCGCTTTTTAACAAACGGAAAAGTTAAAATATAGTAGATTCAAAAGTTAAACATACTTTTTACTCCACCAAAATAACATCAGGTCGGAGCTCACAATGTTTCACGATAGCAAAGTAATCCTCATCACAGCACAGAAATTCTATGAATAAATGAAACCTTTGTTTTACTCAAAATATATTTCCAGTGAAAAAATATTTTACAAAATTATTTACCATATATATGATAGATAATATAGTCCGACACACGAATAAGTCTGACACACGAATAATATTCGACACACGAATAATGTCCGACACACGAATAATGTCCGACACACGAATAATGTCCGACACACGAATAATGTCGACACACGAATAATGTCGACACACGAATAATGTCCGACACACGATTAATGTCCAACACACGAATTATATCCTAAACATAAATAAGAAAACTTCGTTCTAAGCAAATTACAAAAAAGACCACCAAAACTCGTCAATGGCGTGTATTAAAAGATAGTATTTAAGATACGCCATAATCAAGTAACTGTTTATTTAAGATTTGAAGTTGTAGTTTTACTATTATTTTAGAGGAATAAGTTCCACAAATATGGCCCTCGGTAAGTTATTGAGAATTCAGATTGTTTTAGCAAAGTTTTTGGTACCTGATAATTAAGCAACGAATGCTTTGTTTATTATTTATGATCTATAATAAAGAAAAAGTCTTAAAAAATATTTGGCAGCATTTGATGTTTTAATCTAAACATGAATAAGAGAATATTATAAATATTTAATTGGTAAACATTCAGCACTTCAAGCTTTCTAAGGAGTGGATTGGCACTGGTGTATTTATTAGCATTTAATGTAAGGCGGCTTGCTTGTTTTTGTTTTTTTAGGATACGCGTTAGTTTTCACGGATAAGTGCTTCCCCATGTAATGTTGCAATAACTAATATAGCTATGAATAAATGAAAAGTAAATGAATTTAAAACAGTTTTTGTCCAACATATATCTAGTTTTATACATAATACCAATACTTTTTGAAATTTTGTTTCCTACAAGGTTAATATGCTCTTTCCAACTTATTTGCTCATCGATTAAAACACCTAAGAATTTAACAAAGAATATTCGTTGCAATTTGGTTTTTTCTATTGAAATATCTGGGAATTTTAAGGGCAACGTGTCAGATTTAAAAGATTTTGAAAAGAAAGTATATTTGCTTTTGGTAGGGTTCAGAGAGAGTTTGTTGGCTTTAAACCATTCATTAAGGTTATCAAGTTCATGGTTCATAGTGGTAAAGATTGTCTTAATGTTAGAGTGAGTATAAAAAACTTGAGTGTCGTCAGCAAAAAGATTGAAGTTTAGTATACTATATGATGAGTAAATATTGTTGAAATAAATAATAAACAATAAAGAGCCTAGAATCTAGATCTCTGTGGAACTCCGTACATGATGTTTTCTAATTTAGTGTAGGTGTTGTCATAAGAAACACAATGTTTGCGATTTTTAAGATAGGAACAAAACCATTTAAAATTATTATTTTTGACTCCATAACTTTTAAGTTTGTAAAGAAGAATATCATGGTCCACAGTATCAAAGGCCTTTGAGAGGTCAATAAACACTCCAAGAGTATATCGGTTGTTTTCAAACCCATTTAATATTTCTTTAACTAATTTAATTACTGCATGTTCTGACGAGTACCCTTTTCTATATCCGTACTGATTTTTATTTAGAACTTTGTAAGTTGTGAGATAGTTGTAAAGCCTATTATGCATTATTCGTTCTAAAATTTTAGAAAAACGTGGGAGTATTGAAATAGGTCTGTAATTAGGTAACTTTGAGATATCACCATCTTTAAATATTGGAACCACTCTAGCTAGTTTCAAAAGGTCAGGGAAAACTCCATTTTTAAATGAAAGATTAAATATGATAAGTAAGGGGTATTCAATAATATCAAGAACTTCTTTATTTTCAATGAACTACAAAAAAAATATTTTATGATGATATGTAAAAAATTTTGTTTTAATCTTAAATTAAGATACACCACCCAAAACGGGAACTTTGTTATTTATATTCTTTTATTTTTAACTGTTATAGTTGTTTTATTACTTTTTTGGTTCTTAAATACCTGCAATTATTTTTTTTTTTTTATGTTTCGAATTTTATGAAGCGTTTTTAATGGGGCTTGGTGATAAGGCTAATTTATGCCTTCTTCTTACTCCAGCCAATTATTTTATTTTGTTATATTATTGAACATCGCAAATCTGTTTTAAACGGCAAAATAAATAAATGTATATGCGACCCCGCTTCCCCCAGCCACATGTTTATTTAATCAATCGATTTTGTTATTAATTTAATCAATCAAATTAATCAATCGATTTTTTTAAACCAAAGAAGATTGAAAGATAGACATTTTTTTAAATTAATAATGCGCCTAATTACTTGGTTCACTAAAATCACGGCTATCTAAAACACAGGCCTATTACACGAGCGGCAAAATTTCAAAAACTGGAGGCCGATTAGTAAAAATTTAATTTCGACTTAACTTTATTTTATAAAAATATTTTAACAAATTACAATTGTTATCTAACTTGCTAACTAAAGGAATACTTATTTTATATTTCTTGAAGAGAAAATATTACAAAATTTTAATGAAACATAATTTAGGGCCGACGACATGCGTTTTGAAGTAAGGGGGGGGGGGGTGAAAAAAGTCCTCTATATCAAATTAAAAAAAATGATCTTTAGAAAAAAAGCGCGGGGAGCCCTCGGTGTCGTCGGCCCTGTAAGAGTTTTACATAAGTCAAACAACAAAAGTAACAAAAATTTTAATTTAATCACTCAGTTTTAAAACTTTTTGAGCTGGCTCCTTGTAAGTGCGTGAAGCGCTTAGCTTTGAATAATTATTTAAAAAAATATTTGACAAAATGTTAAAACTTTTCATACACATATTATTCTTAAAAGAACCCAAAAAATATATATTGTCGATTGATTCAAAGTAGTAAGATAAGAAATGATCCCGTGCAATAAAAAGTACAAAACAAAAGAAAGTAATTTTACATAGAATATCAGTTGGCTTTATCAAACGACCTCTATCTAAGTCTTTGAGATAAGCACCATACTCATTTCAATATGAATATGTATTAGTGCCTAGATCTTCATAACCAATCTTAAATTAAAGGTAACCAGAAATGCAAATGGAAGGTGTGATGCAATTATATGTGACAATAATAAAGTCAATGTAAATTTTTTCTCTCTCTTTGAAACCTTTGAAGAGAAACCATGGCTGACTAAAAATAACATATACTAAAGCCATTTTAAAAGTTAAACTAGACTCTAATATTTTCAAAAAATTAAATATTTCCTTTTCCTTTTGTGTTTGTTACCTCTGACAGTTTATGCAAGTATGACCAACATGAAGCTTACGAATGTCTGAATTGGCGGTGATTCGATTACAGAGCGCAATGGATCTCTTAACCTTTTATCATCACCCAGTTTGTAAATATTAATAATTTTCCATGCATCAATAAACTTTTTTAGAAATACAGCAGTTCCTTTAATTTTTGTTTGGCCTATTTTAGGATGTTAGGATAAAGCAGAAAGTGTTTCATCACAAAAAACTCTCAAACACAAAGAAACATTTTGTCTCTCAACAGGTTTTGGAAAGATGGAAGCTGTTTTTAAATGCAAAAGAGTCACAAGTTTCTTACTTTATAAGTTGTAAAGGTTCTTAAGATCATCCCACCTTGCAATTAAATTATCATCATTGTCCTTAAACTGAATTTCTTGAGTTTTATCAGTAATCCAATTATTTCTTATGTTTTTCCATATATGAACATAATCGTAAAGTAAAAAAATGTAATTTTTAGTCAGCCATGGTTTCTCTTCAGAAATTTCAAAGAAAGAGAAAAAATTTGCATTGACTTTATTATTGTCACTTATAATCACAACACTCCGTCCATTTGCATTTGAAATTGATCCAAGTATAGAATTAACTACTTCAAACTGAAAATCTGAATCAAGACAACATACTGGAATCATGCATACTATAAAAGTGGGTCCACCAAAAAGACATTTAATTATAACAGCTAATACTGTTTTTGCTAATTTGTCTGGTTGATAAACAGATTTCTCAAAACGTTCTCCACCGTGATAAGTTAATGAAGCTTGAACATATACTTTATCAACTATTAAAATGCACTGTCGCTGTCAGTTAGTAAGTTTGCAAAAAACTTTGCAAACTTAGTTTTTTACAATACAACAGCTTTGCAACAAATGTTTCGTACACAAAAAAAAATGTTTCATACACAAAAAAAAAAGAAAAAATGTAGATGTACCAAGATTCAAAGGGAGTGTCTCAACAAAACTGAAATACTTGAAAGGTTAAAAGATACTGAGAGCAAAAAAGCAGCAAAGCTAAAAAACAATGTAAGGTTAGTTCTAATGGCAAACAGCAACTAAACCAAGCAACAAGTCCAACAAAAATGTTAGCTGCAAACCAATTTAAGTGTAAAAAGTGCCGAAAAGTTTTAGGCGAAGCTTCAGTAAGTCAAAATATGGAACGGTACCAGTGTGAAAATTCAAATTGCAAGGTTTGGCTATGTCAAACATGCATACCAAAGCGATACCTAAAAGGCACTGAGTTTTGTTGCACCAAAAAGTGCCGCACAACTAAAAACTCAACTCAACCTCTAATACCTCTAAACGACGCAATATTATCACAAAAATAAAAGAATTTATTTTGTTTGATTGAATTTTTAATTGTTATTATTGATTGCTTTTTTAAATTGTTAGTATTGATTGCTTTTAGTTTTTTTTTAACAAACTGTTGTGTTAATAACACACATATTTGCGTATTTCATTCTCCCCAAATGTCAGTGTAGAATAAAATTAATTCTTTTTTAATCAAAAAGAGTTTTATAAAAAACTTTAACAAGTTAACAAGTATTATAGGATATTTTGTTTATATGTTTTTTAGATTGAAATTGAATAACTTTGTTGTCCAATTGAATTATTATTATTCCCATTCGATTGTTGTAAGCTCTTTTCTTCCATTTCATTCGATTGTTGTGAGCTCTTTTCTTCCATTTCATTCAACTGTTGTGAGTTCTTTTCTTCCATTTCATTTGACCGTTCTGAGCTCTTTTCTTCCATTTCATTCGATTGTTGTGAGCTCTTTTCTTCAATTTCATTCGATTGTTGTGAGCTCTTTTCTTCAATTTCATTTGATTGTTGTGAGCTCTTTTCTTCCATTTCATTCAACTGTTGTGAGTTCTTTTCTTCCATTTCATTCGATTGTTGTGAGCTCTTTTCTTCCATTTCATTCGATTGTTGTTAGCTCTTTTCCTCCATTTGATTCAATTGTTGTGAGTTCTTTTCCTCCATTTCATTTGATTGTTGTGAGCTATTTTCTTCCATTTCAATCGATTGTTGTGAGCTATATTCTTTCATTTCATTCAAATGTTATGAGCTATTTTCTTCTATTTCATTCGATTGTTGTGAGCTCTTTTCTTCTATTTCATTCGATTGTTGTGAGCTCTTTTCTTCCATTTCATTCGATTGTTGTGAGCTATTTTCTTCCATTTCATTCGATTGTTGTGAGCTATTTTCTTCCATTTCATTCGATTATTGTGAGTTCTTTTCTTCCATTTCATTCGATTGTTGTGAGCTATTTTCTTTTATTTCATTCGATTGTTGTGAGCTCTTTTCTTTCATTTCATTCGATTGTTGTGAGCTATTTTCTTCCATTTCATTCGATTGTTGTGAGTTATTTTCTTCCATTTCATTCGATTGTTGTGAGCTCTTTTCTTTTATTTCATTCGATTGTTGTGAGCTCTTTTCTTCTATTTCATCGCCCATGAATCTTAAATGCTTATTTAAACAGTTTTTCTCCGTTATAATAAAATACAAAACTTAAGAAAACGACATAAAATACGATCAAATAACCGAAACTTTTATAAAAAATGGTGACTTTGCAGCACCATGATAAAAATAACATTTAAAAGAGCTTATAACATTTAATTTTAAACATTTATTGAACAATCATAAAATTGAAGTAACCAATGTAACTAACACTGGTTAGGTTAAAAATTGCGGTTAAGAATTGCGGTTAGGCTATTACTTAAAAAAAGCATTGTAGTTTTTGATTGAAATAAGTTATGACTAAAACAGATTGTTTATATGAAAAATACCTTTTATTTTAGTAACTTTGAGCCCCTTGAGGCAACTGAAGACATTAAAATTTTGAAGAATTTTTTTTCAATTTATTTAAACACATATGAAAAGTCAACTTTTTATTGCTATTACAAATCCATCGCCTCTTGTGATGCATCAGATTTTTTTTTTCAAAAAATGTTGTTATTTTTGGCAAGGACGCAACAACATGTTTGCAATTCGTTTTAAAATTATTTTTTTTTTTGTCACCGGACTTTATTTTGCCAGGCTAAGCCATGTGATTAATTGATCACGTCAGACTTCTACTGGATTAATTCTAATTTTTGCAGAAGAGCGTTTAACCAGAAAATTCACGCCTTCTTTGTAATAATTGATATGATGGCTTCAATTGAAATCCCTCTCCTAATTGAAATTTTTTAGATAACTAACTTCTCTAACGTCCTACTTCTTCCCACTCTCCCTAAATCTATTCCAATGGTAGCAATCTGGAATGGGAATTTAATCTATTCTAAAATTAGATACACATGTACTAGTTTTAGACATGTGTTTTTCTTAGTTGCTAACAAATGTCTTGAACTCATCACTTTGCCTGATTATTTAATGCTACAAAGAAGACTCTGAAACGTACCTTGCGTAAGCGCACCTTGAAGCAAAGACATGAACCTCTAATTTTTGCTGTTGTATAAACAGTATTTTATAAAGCTTTTGAAGTATTTAAAGGTTAATCAACTGTGACCTAATGCAATACTACAAAAGTGATGTTAGGTAAGCGTAACGCATACAGCATAATACCAGCCGTTCCCAAACGTAATGGTAACTTAGTGAAACAAGCTAACTGCTCTAATGCTGGTTTGATCAGGAGCAAAATGGCTGCATGTTGGCTTTGCCAACGCAACTCTAAGGTACGACACAGAGCCAGCAATGCTGGTTTTGAAGTGGGTAGAGGGGGATGGCATTATTGTTATTTCTTAATGAAAGTCCTCAATACCGTGAAATTTATTTACAAAAAAAAAAAAAAAATTTAGAAAAAAGTGGGTGACGTTGGCCAACGACCATAAGTTTTTGTTTCTTGGAAAAATAACACTATGTAACACAATTTTTATTCGTGGCTTCTAAGTGCTATATTTCAATTGTTTATGTTTCAAGTATGTGAAAAAATGACTTCATTAAGCAGAAACTTTGCTTACACAACAACAGCACGAAGAAAACTTGTTTTTTTGTGAAAACAGAACAATTTTTTTTATTTTCGTCATTATGATTAGGTAAAAACAAAAACTGCACAAGGAAAAGACACAGTCGGAAACCACTCAATATTTAGATTCTCTAGATTTACGATTGTACTGTGAATAACTCATCCAAAGTTGGCCTTAAATGTAGTTCCCCATCATGTTTTTGTTATACTTTATATTTTTTTATTTAGGTGCCCGAAGAGGTCCTTACGGTCTTATCACAAAGCATCGCGGATGAGCATTTAATTGAAAGTTCACGCCTCCTTCCTAACCGATGTCGCAAAACTTGCCTAGAGGTGGGGTTGAACCATAAATCCTTTGCTTCTGAGGCAAGTGCGCTACCACTGCGCCACGGCTGCTCAACTGCTATACTGTCCTTGGTTCCGACATTCAAAATCCAATACATCTTGATAAAAGCGCTTGCCTTGCTTCTCAGAGTAAGCGTTGAGATGCAAATGAAGGGTATGGACTTTTATATTCTGCATCCCATTTTGGCGTAGTTTTTTAGGAGAATCTGTACCAATCCCACATAGTTTTCAGCTTTGTAATTACCTAGGAAGCTCTAAACAACAGCAACGAAACTGCTCCAAGCCGCTCTTTCTGTATTCAAGTTCCAAGCCGCTCTTTCTGTATTCAGTATTCAACAGGTTCACAAAATTCTTCAGAAAACTCTGTCCGTTGTCGGCTGTCCCTGAGACAGAGTTGGCTGTCCCAGAGATACAAGAAACTCGTTCGGCTGTCCCAGAGACAGAGGAAACGAGGAAACTTTGCAAAACCTCCTTGAAGACCCATGAGGAATGATACAATTTTGAAGTCACCAATGATCTCCCATCCGTAGCCGTTATACTTTAATGCACTCAGCAATGTTTTGACACTGGTGTAGTCCTACTTGAGATGCATAGAGTGGGCCATCGAGAGAGATAGGTAGTTGTTTCCATTGTAAAGCAACACGACTTTGAGGTCAGGGATGAACTGTTTATAAAAAGGCGCCGTTTAATAAGATTACATGCAATACCTATATAGGTATGTTACCGATCTATTCTGCACTATATATAGTGCAGAATAGATCGGTAACATTGTTGCAGAAGCATACCCCATCACGCTGATTGAAGAAATTGGTGACTGTACGCTATCATCAAACAAGTTCCATTGTTTGAGCTTAGATATCAGAAGCTCAGCATTCGATTTTGTAAGCCCGAGGTCCCTAATTAAATTGCTCACGTCTTTCTGGTTAAGGAAGTACGGTTTTCTATCCACAACTTCATCTGCTGAATTGTAATCCATATTTCCAGTATCTGCCTCCCTAATTGCTACTGTCTCCTGAAGATGGCCGATGTCACCTAGGAGGAATTAAAACAGACAGATTTGGGCTGTGTGATACTGGGGCAATAGAAGAAAGTCCGGATAAACAATCTTAGGGGTATTTTTGCCAGTGCGACATTTTTTTGGGTTTACCATGCAGAAGTTGCTGTTGCTTGAGTAGTCCGTTGGCTCTCGCCAAATTTGTGTTAGCAAAGTTCATGGCTCTTCATAATCTCCTCTGTATCAACCTGTAACATAATACATAAAAATTATAATAATTTGAGGACATGAAATTTAAAAATATGCAGCAATTTCAAGATGGAATAAGTTTGCCTACAGTACGCGACTTATGACAAAACTTTGTAAATTACAACTCCTTGAAATGAACTAAATCCAAAGCATTAAAGTTTTATGAAAATAAACTAAAACACATCTAAGCGAGAAGCAACAATTCAGTTTACCTTCAAGTGTTTTCTTGCAATATTTGCATTTGAAATCCCGTGCCCAGGATTTGTTTTGATAAGCGACCGGCACGCCGAAGTTTGCCCTGCTCGCCTCTTTAACAGAATACGTTTTCGCTCATATCTCAATGAATTGTACGCGCATATAGCAGAATGAATCAGCTTGATGCAAACAACCTTTTGATGCCATATCAAATAAATAACTTCTCTTCAACAACGAATCGTTATCCTTTTAATCTGCAATAACACGAATTGGAATCTTGGTTCGAGACACCTGTGCCTTTACACATGTACAGCTACTTGTGGAACTTTCAAGAACGTTCTAGATAGTTCTGAGATCTTCTCGTTTTGGACGTTTCTTGAACATTCTAGAGTATTTCTTGTTAGTTCTAGAATTTTAGAAACATTTGGACAAATGTAGCAGCTCAGAAATATTATAGGAGGAAGCTCGGCATTGAAAGTAAATCAAGAAATTTCTATAGAACACGCAATTTTTCAAACTTTATTGTCCCGGATACAAAAACAAAGTTTATGGAATAACAGCGATTTTCTTTCTGTTCTAGACCTAACTGGTTAGGAAAACACACTTTGAAACCAGGAATGAACAAAAGTGAAAGTTTATTACATAGTGTAATAAATGCTTTACACTAACGTTGGGCATACAAATTGTGCTGTTTGGGGAGTACATACCAGGAGTACACACTATTTTACCTCGAATCAGTTTTATATAACAAACTTATTTTTGTTTTTACTAATAATTAAATATAATAATTTCCGGAAATTATTACTTTTAGTAATAATTTCCGGAAACATCTCAAGTTTTTCAAAAATCAAATAATCTGAGTTGTTAGATACAAGAGGATTTCTTGTATCTAGCGCATCTATTTTACTATATGCTTTTTTATTTGTATTATATTTTCATTATAAGGTCAATATTTCTTTTACAACTTTAGTTTTAAATAGATCTTATAAGAATAAATTTTTATAATATACAATGGCGGGGTTGGTAAATGTAACTTTACTTTTATTTAGAGATAAACACTGAAAAGTTACCAAGAACGTAATTTTAACTATACTGACAATATTTTAATACAAATGCGTGTGATGTAATTCTAGTAATGAAACAACAAATAGTTGGTTTTGCTATGGACTTTATGTTAGTGGGCATCCATAAAGTACATACGCAGTAAAATCGCTTATTTAGGACCCCCTCCCCTTGTACGAACCTGTACGAATCTGTAATTTCAAAGACCTCGCCCCCTCCTCCTCCGCGTACGTACGCATTTTTTTTTTCAAAATTAACTCGATTTTTTTTTCTCTCATTATTTATCAAGAATTAAAAAAAAAATTGTAACTGAAGTCAGAAAAAAAAACAATTCTGATTTGTTGCACACGTGAAATTCAATGTTTTTTTTTAAAATAATAAAATCATGTTTAGGATAGTCAAACCGCGTACGTACTGTCTATAACACCCCCTCCCCCTTGTACGCATTTGTACGCTTTTAAACCCCCCCTTCCTCTCCATACCTGCGTACGTACTTTATGGATGGCCCCTTAGCGTGCAAAATCATGCTGCTGTGCTTGTATTATAACAAGGTGTTATACAATGTGCATTAATTAACATTACCGTTTTACCACTTGTATTCACGCCTTAATGAGTGGTCTAAATATTTATAAAGCATTATTTTTTCTTTTTACAAGAATGATAACAAAATATTTTAAAAAACCAGTTAGGTATTAGGTGTGTTACGTGTATTACCTGTATTACGCTATTGAGCTATGTTGTTAAAATGATTATTATTTTATTAGAAAATAAAATTGGATTTAAAGTTTGATTTATCTATTGTAAATAAATTTTTTGAAAAGAAAAAAATATATGTTCTTTCTGTATTAAGCATCAAATTTAACTTATTTTTACCCATTTAAATTTTAAACTGCCAATACTCCGAGATTCGTTTTTTAAATAATTCTGGAAGCAATAATAAGAAAACCAGTGAATAATCTTATCTTAAAGGTGTTCTAATTATTAAAAAATTGAAATAAATAAACTTATTTTGACCGTTTGGCTTTTAACCGTTGCTATGGAGGTATAGAAATAGAAATAAATGGTTCAAGATATTTGTTATCTAAAGGTATATACTAAATTTACAAAAATGGCTTTCAGATTGCAAATCTTTGATAAACTTTGAATAGAAAAATTAATTTTTATATTTTGAAAAGTTTGATATTTATAATTATTTAATTTTTTACCTTAATTGATCCGCAGACATTCGATATATTCGAACATTCTATTGCATTTCAAAAATATTTCATTGATATTTTTATGTTAAAAGAATGCATTTATAAAAATATTAATATCAATCTTTCTGAGACATTCGATTTATACAGTTTTGTTACGCAGCTAATTTTTTTTCGTAAAAATTTTTTTTCAAATGAACTTCGTGAGAAACCGAAACGCCAAAAAAAGTTCTCAATATATATTTTACTTGAGTATAATATCAAAAGCCATCGTTTTTTCTAGTTTTTGTTTTGTAGACTTTAGTATTTTTTAAAAAAACTATTTGAAATTTTTAAATAATGCAGTTGATACAAAGTATTATGAATATTTTAATATTGGTTTACAGTTTTTCACTTTTAATAAGCGCAGAAAAAGGTAAGAATACATATGTCAGCAATTTTATGTGCAATAATACACAAAAAGTTAAAAATGTTATTTTAGTAAGAAATATATATTTTAGTTGATCTACGTTATATAACTTTATTTGAAAGAACAATATCCGGAACTTTTATTCCTCCTCAAACCGGTGAATACAAATTTTACAGTAGCTGCAACTTACCATGCAATGTGTTTTTGGGCTTCAATAATCCATCTGTTGGTCTAGTAAAAATTATTAATCAAAATAATAAAGTTAGAGATCTAATTTTTGACGAGTAAGTTTTATTTAATTATCTTTAAGGTCGGATAGCTAGCCTTTTACGGGTAAGTTTTTTGGTTATATTCCAACAAAATAAAAAGAAAATGAAAAAAATAAACTGTAACAAAATACCATCGAAATAATGGAACCATCCAAAATACTATCCAAATATAACTCACATAAATGTATTATCTCTTATTGTATTATCGTTCAAAAATTATGACCATATAAAATTTGTAACCCCCTCAAATTAAGGTGGGTTTAAACATTATGTGGTCATAATTTGTGAATGCTGAAAGATAATGCTTTGAAACTTAAAATTTATTAATGAATATAATTCTAGTTGAAAATAGGACAAAAAATATTTTATCAACTTGTTGCCCCTCACGTTTCGGGTGGGGGGTTTGGGAGAGATACATAGTTTGCAAAAACATGCGTGTAGAATTATTTACGTGAAAAAAAGAGGAGAGCATACTAAACTCTTAATGAGAAATATGAAAATGATGAATGTATACGAAATAAATTTTTATCAGCACCTAATTTTCATTTATAAATATATTAATAACCTAACTCTAGCTAATTTTATTTGTAAGTTTGAGAAAAATTTAAATAAAAAGTATTTTTTAAGAATAAATCGATCAAATTCCTTTAAACTGCCAGGGAAATTAAATAAATATACAGAATATTCAATAGCACATCGAGGACCTAAGTTGTGGAATTCTTTTCAAAAAACTAATACAGTTATGGTAAAATTATTAAACTCATTTAAGTTTCAAGCAAAAAAACACAATTTTAATTTTGCGGAATAATAATTTCAAAATAACTTTGTAAATTTATTCAAATGAAATTTTCTTATTTTTCATAGTAGTTACTAATGATATACGTTTCTTTTGATGTATTAATTATTAAATCTTTTTGTATATATTTGTATTTATTTCCGTTCGATAATTGTAGGCTTTTCCGTTCCCAGCCTCCAATCATCGCCATTATTTGCAAAGCATCATTACTTGACATAAGTATAAACATACCAATGTTTGGAGTTTAATTTTTATCTCAAACGCCAAAAAATCCTGGATCCCCACCTGTAATGATATAATATCATTAAAATTTGCGTGTAGCAAATTTTATTGATATTAAATAATATTATATTAATAATAATTGATACTTTATTAATATTAATTAATATTCTGCTCATCACACCCCGGTGGAGGTAGGTACAAACTAAAAAAAATGTCCCAAGGTCATGTGATACCTTTTTGGATCTGTACTGACCTCTACTTTCAGAAAATAACACCAATAAAAAAAAAATTCGAGGTCTAAGAAAAAAAAAAAATTAATGTAAACCAAAAAAGCCAGTATTTTTCTTTGTATATCCATTAATTAATTTATTTGATCATGAATTGTTCGATGATTATTACATATTTTAAAAGCTTTAAAATATTCACAATAGACAGAGCTTTTATTTGTTAATAATTTATATGTTGTCATATAAATTATGGCTACAAACTTGTTGTGCAAATATTTTCAAATAACTTTATTCCCTAATGCTTCAAAAAACAATACTGATGTATTGGTCAAGTTTATTATCTTTATAAGGAGGATTAAAAATGATGGAAAATTTATATTACATAAAGCTATTTAATTATTTCTAATGACAAATGAAACTATATTAAGACTTTGATATTTAAATACATATGAATTACAAATATAAAATTTAAAAATATGTATAAGTCTTCTAAAAACATAAAAATCTCCTTTAAAATTAAATCTTGAAATGTGTTTGTCTACTATTATAAACAATAACCGACCTCAGCAGTTTTGATTGGTACAATTTGTGACAACTTGGAACTTTGTATCCTTGCTCATAAAACTGTTTGAAGTCATAATGAACAGATTCAGAAACCTGTTCTGACCAAAAACCAAGACCTTCTCTAGGATATTTTTCAGCCAATGATTCCAAAAAAGCTGGTACATGGATGACTGGAGCATGTACTTTTGGTGATACTTTTTCGTTCAATGCCATATATGCTTCCTTGAAGGAATTCTGATTCTTGTAAGAAATGTCCAAATTTAGACCGAAGCAAGTTTTCTTCACATTTTTTAGTGCTTTCAGTTTTATCGATTTTTTTTTTTTTTTAATTCATCTGGTAGAACTTTGAAATTGGGTTTGAGAATATTGTCTAATGATTCTATGTTATCCAATAGCTTTGAACACTGTCCTCCCTTGAACTGGCCGCTGTGCAATCTTGACCTAATAAATCCATATGATTTATTCCACAAATCTATAAAAATTAATGTTTCTGTTTTTAAAAGTATTTTATCACCTATGTTATACAAAGGGTTTGTGTTTTCAGAAAATAAATGAAGCTCCATTGGAGGAAGGATTTCTGCAACAGATGTATTATGATTTCTGCAACATATATGTATTATGATTTATGCAACAGATGTATTGGTAGGTCTATCAAAGGAGTTTGGACACAATTCTTCAATGGTGCAGCCGAGAGTTTACTTTTTCTTCTGTGATTCTTGCTAGCTTTTTTTGTACTTCTTTGCATTATATCTAATCATACCAAGTATTCTGGAAAAAAAGTAGATTAAAATCCCAAATTAAAGATATATCCAGAATAATGATTTGACTGTAAAAAAAAAATAATTTATAATGCCATACTAATTACTGTTTACCAAATGCAAGACATGCAGGATTCACAGGTTGTGAATCCTGCATGTCTTGCTTTGACAATTCCCACCAACTGCAGGAGTGAGTAGAAGAAGCAGCTTCAATTCTGAATGAATATTCGCAAGTTAAATGCTAAAAATACTTCTTAGTCGCAATTCCAATATTTCTATGATTTGATTAATGTTTTGGTGATTCTCTTTAACATTGTCAACAATGGCCAGAATAATAAGTTTCTTAACTCCTCCGTCCTTGAACTTTATCTCCTTTATTACTTCTCTGTATGAGAGCTTGGTTTTTGGTTCATTTACTTTACAATCAAGAATATTTAAACTTTCCAGCTCCTAAGAACACTAAAAGCAGTTTCTGTTTAAGTATCACTTAATCCTAATATATTTTTGAATCTTGGGACTTCACTAGCTGGCACCTTGTTTTCAGGAAAAAGGCTCTCAACTCTGTTTTACTTTGAAATTTTGATATTTAAAATTTTAGGCCCTTTGTTAGCAAGCAATCACCTGCATCCACTTCAGGTAGTTTTGGCTTTAGGATTTTAGTACAAAAAAGCTCTGTACTTTTCTGAAATATATTAATATATTTAATATAATATATCTTTAACATCAAAAGTTGTTTGAACCCACATAATATTATATTTTATTGGTTTTAACGTAAACTGTTATTGCACAAGTGGTTTTAGGTTAAATAATTATTATATATATACATACAGACATACCTCTAGACAGAGCCACCTCAAGATTATCCCTGCAAATTGAAATATTGCAAGAGTGAGGTAAACCGCGTCCTAATGTACATAGACATCTTTGACATACAGATATGGGTAGGGGAGGTGGCAGAACTGATTCAGTGGATACTCGTCTTCCTTTTTTCAATTTTTTCCTGATTTTGGGTAGTAGCTTTCTTTGCAACAACACAAACTGCACACTCACATGTAGGCTAATTTCTTGTAATAATAAGTTATTCCAGAAAATAAAGTCATTCCAGAAAAATCATATGGTACTGCAAGAGTTTGGTTTTTTAATACCTTTTTCAATGAGTTCCAGAAATTTTCTGCCGTGCAAACAGATACCAGAAGGATAATGTTTCTTAGCCAAGTCTTTGGGATAAAATAATTTTGAAGTCTTTTATAGTTTGGGCCAATTATTTCTCTAATCGTTTTGTCTTTCTCAAAGCACACAATGCAAACTTTTTTGGTTATCTTCATGGTTTAATGCCTGATTAGGCATCATTGAAGGGGTCAGGGCAATAACATCCGTTTTTGCCATATATAATAACATCTGTGAAATTTCCGAAACATCCGAAATTTCATCGATGTATAATAACATCCGTGCAACAACATCCCAAATTTCATTGATGTATAATAACATCCGTGCAATAACATCCCAAAATTCATTGATGTATAATAACATCCGTGCAACTACATCTGTAGATTTTTCGGATGTAACTACATCCGAATTTTTTTTTTTTTAAATGCATATTTTAAATGCATATTTAAATGCATAATTATAACCAGATGTAGTTACGCATCTGATTTTTTTCGGGTGTAACTACATCCGCCAAAAAAAAATTATTGTAATGCATTATTTTAAGCATAATAATTTTTTTTTTTTCAATTATTTGATAGACTGCCTGCCCAAACCTAACCCTCAGTCGATGTAGCAGCACTCCGTTGCGATTCAGGCTATTTGTCAGTCGATGTAGCAGCACTCCGTTGCAAGTCAGGCCATTTGTCAGTCGGTGTAGCAGCACTTATATAATATAATAATTATATATGTAACTTATAAATGTAACTACATCCGGAATTTTTTTTTAATAATGCATTATTTTAACCAGATGTAGTTACACATCTGATTTTTTTCGGATGTAACTACGTCCGAAAATTTATTTTATTTACTAATGCATTATTTTAGGCGGATGTAGTTACACATCGAGAAAAACTCTCGGATGTAGTTACATCTTTCTAAAGATGTTATTAGACATCAATGAAATTTCGGATGTTGTTGTACAGATGTTAATTCAGTAAAGAAAAAAAGTGGATGATCTTACACAAAAATGTGCGGATGTTATTTCACTTATCTGCGGATGTTGTTGGACAGATGCAGTAATCTTTTCCCTATTGAAGTACTGGTGGTACAAAATGTAGACTTTGCCAAATATATTTAAGAAAAAATGGAGTTTAATGATTAACTTTGATTTGCATAGATTTCCTTTTATTGATTTTGATAGATTTCTTTAAATTTATTGTAAAGGTTGTTACAAAGTCAATTCCCTCTGGACAATTATTTCTAACACTCGTTTAGAATAATGATTAACGATTGCGACACAAG